CCAACGACATTGAAACCGTCTCTATCGAGCCCGGACGAAGTTAAGCCACCTATTGGCACAGAAAACGCACCGCCTCCACCAACCGAGACCGAAACGGCAACGAAGACTCCGTCAGCCCCTCCGGCTGCATCTTCTTAACTGCAATGACACGGCAAACGATGTTACGCTACCGCTACACCAGCAATACGCGTCTTCACCTCATTTTCTTTCATACTCTCCTCTTTTCTTTCTTGTTGGACCTTCATTATTGGTTTGGCAGTATTTTTATGTGGCGCTACGGCAACGTATCCTTCGATCCTCGTTTTCCTTTTCTCTTTTCTTTTGTTTTATTTTTATTATTACCTTTTTTTTGGGTGGAACGGGGCGTAAGGAGTTTAATTGATATGTGCTCGAACCCCAAAACAAATGGCGTTCGTGGTTGATTATGATATCGCTCTCTCGGTTTGGAGAACAAAACAAAACAGCGGGAACGTGGGTTGTTATTATTCGGGTTTTCTTCCCTTTTTGGGGAGGAACAAAAAAGGGAAAACAAAATGGGTTCAGGCACACAATGGGGATATGCTTTACTTTACTTATTTTTCCTTTTTATCTTTTTTCTTTTTCTGCTTCAGTTCCTCCCTTTTTCTCAGTTCGTCTTACCTACCTTCCTTGTCAATGTATGTATGTATGTGCACGGGAAATGGAATTAGCCTCCGGTGGAAATGCCTGTTGCTTTCCCCAGCCTCTCTTTGCTACTCTTTTTATCGTGATTTAGGTCTGCGTATTTTGGAGATCAGTACTTGTTTTGGCTCTCCTTCCACACGGCTGTTTAGGAGAGGAGGATTCGATCACGCTGGGTCCTTTTGATATACCAATTGTATTGTCTTATACCTGGGTACAGCTTTCCTCGTTCTCTCACCTTACTAAAGTTGCTCACTGCACGTAAGAGGCAGTATGGTGTGTATTTACGAAACTGCTTTATATCTGAGTTATTGTTGCCACTGTAGATGATTCCCTACTCTGTCTATCGCATGGCCCTGCGTTCGTAGTCGAAAAAAACAAACACGCTGCAAGATAAATCCGTAAACGCCTGTGTCAATCTAGAGATTGACGCCGTTTTAAGGTATGAAAACACGAAGCCCCTTTCTCCAGCCACATTCGCATTCGCATTCGCAATCGTTCCCTTTGCCATGCTTAATACCGCACAGCACCCAGGTTGTCCTCCTTGAAAATCAACAGGGCCAACCGGTGCCGCACAAACAGGCCAAACAGGCCGACGCAGGCCTGCATGACCACCACCTCCAGGGCCAGCCGGTCCTCCCGCAGCGGGCCCCGCCACACCAGCCAGAGATTGAGGAGCGTCATGTTGGACGTCTCCTGGATCACGGCCGGGTCCGCGGGGTCGGTGGTCAGGCGCAGCAGGCGCAGGCGTGCCAGCAGGCGCAGGGCCCAGGCCACGGGGGCGCGGGGCTGGCGGTCGGGGCGCCAGACGGTGACGGAGGGCTCGAGCAGGCCCGTGCGGGCGTGGAAGCGCGGCATGCGGTGGCGGGGGCAGGGGACGAGGCCGAAGATTTGCGGCGCGGAGTAGGCAAAGTTGGCAATCTGGGGCAGCAGGAGGAGCACGAGGGTCTTGGAAAAGTGGCCGAGGATGCTGACAACGACAAAGACCATGCCGGCGAAGTAGCAGTAGGTGTCGCCGACAAAGACGCGGGCGGGGTACCAGTTGTGGGCGAGCAGGGCTAGCGACACGCCCAAAAAGGGCAGCAGAAAGTAGAGCGAGAACAGGTGGCTGTCGGTGGCCGGGTGGGGATAGGGCCCGGCGAGCAGGTAGAGGGCGTCGTTGAAGACGAGGAGGGCGGCGACGACGACGGACTGGGCGACCTCGATGCCGTTGATGCCGGCGAGGATGTTGATGCTGTTGGGCGAGAAGATGGCGACGGCGGCCATGTAGAGGTAGTACAGCGGGCCGAGGTGGACGAGCTCGCCGAGGTACGGCTGCAGGGGCGTGGGCACGACGACGGACGTGACGCCAAAGTCGACAAAGTAGACGACCAGCAGCGGGATGGCGGCAAAGCCGGGGATCAAAAACTTGTGGCGCCAGCGGATGTCAAACAGGTCGTCGCCGATGCCGAGCAGCGTGATGGACTGCAGCGAGATGATGGCGGACAGAAACGAGGCCAGCTTGGAGTGCGGGAAGCGGTGCAGCAGGCGGCCCTGCTCGACGTGGGCGGCGGGGACGTCGGGCAAGACGACGTCGCGGTTGCCGCCGCCGCTCGTGGCGGCCACGATGTCCTTGTAGAAGGGCATGGGGATGAAGACGATGATGGCCAGCAGGTACACGACGGCGCACACGGCGCCCATGCACTCGGGCAGCGTGCGGCGGTTCGCCTTGCTGAGGTCGGCGCCCTTGATGCCCGCGCGCACAAACGACGGACCCAGCCAGCGGATCATGGCGTAGCTCGCGGCGAAGGCGATACCGCTGAGGGCCAGCGACGCGGTCAAGGGCGCGCCGTCCTCGCGGCGCACGGTGTTTCCGAGGACGGTGGCACAGGCGACGGCCAGGGCGAGCAGGCTGTAGGTCTCGGTCGGGGAGAGGCTGCTGGGGATGCCGGCCGCCAAGGCGGCGTTCTCCTGCTTCAGCGTGGTCGGGGGTGGCGGGGGTGGCGTGTGGGCGTGGCCGTTGGGAGACGCGGCGCGCGTCGACGAGGCCGAGGACACCATTGCGAGGAGATGGAGGGAGAAACGGAGGGGGGAGGAGGAGAGCTTCGAGGAGAATGAAGCAAGGTCGAGGTCGAGGACGTGACGCAGGTGGCGCGGTCTTGGCGACGCCGTGTTCGAGATCTGCTGCCGGCCGCGGCAACGGCCACGACAAAGAGACGTACGAGATTCGAGGTGCAAGATGGTCGAGGCCAGGTTGTTGATGCCGAAAAGAAGACGCCGTTGTCGAGTGACGTCGAATTGAGGCGTTGTGGTTGTTGGAAGCAACGGTGCTGTCTCGATTAGGAAGCAGGAGCCAATGGACAGCTTGCAGCTTGATGTGCCTGCTTCCTTCTGTTCTTGCGTGTCGACAAAAAGTGGCAGGAACGGGCGCGAACGCGCCTGCCGTGGGCGCTGCACTGTGACGTGGCGTTAACGTTTAAGTGACAAAATGCCCCACAGCAGCTGGTACCTGCAATTTACGGTCATACTAGCCTGTATTTTTACTGTCTTAGGGCCTGGCCACGGGTACTGGGCGACCCGTTTCGCGCTACTGTTAGCACCCAAGGGCAAATGTTAGTGGCATCCGGTGCTGCGGCTGGCTTGCGTGATTGGCCAAGCATTCGATATACGATGTAGGAGTTGTGCAAAATCGACATCGAGAGAAGAAACAGAGAAGGATGCAGGCCGCTCCTGCCCAGCAATTTGCCATCCAGTCGCTCAGTTCTCTCCCAACGTTTTGACTTGGGCGGCATGCAAGTTTATCATGTCTGTCTTCTGTCTACATCTCCAGCCGTCAGTCTCAGTCTCCAATGGCAAAGTAGTTAAGATAAATCTGCCCTCGTCCACAGACCCAGCGACCTCTACTTCCGCCTACGAAACGGGCCTGCTTGGGCATGGTTGTTCTTTCCCGCGGCGCTTTATACCCCGTCGCGATTCGTTCCTTCCTTGTCGTCTCTAGATCCGTGCCGTCCATTCCGAAAGCTGCAACCACGAACCCCCCACATTGTGTGGCTACTCAATATGGGCTTGATAATATGCAAAGTAATAGGACACACGTCCTTATGAGACACCGCGTGGCAGACGACTCCCAAGATAAAGCAAGGTTCCTAACAGACGCAGGCTTGAAGCATATTCGCGGCCCGAGACACTTCTGCGGGACGTTGCATACCGGGGTTGGAATGATTCGGCGCTCGGCGTAGTTTAAAGCCGTCTTTACCCTTTTCGGTTCTTTTATTCCCTGCTTTATTCTGTACCTTTTCTTCTTTTTCTCTGCGCCATGCGGAGTTATGGGCCTATTCACATCCGGCGCACCAGTCAGTCGTCCATCTAGGCCAGTGCTTGTGTTTGACATGTAATTACTACATACAAAGTGCGGATATAAAATGGAGTTAGCGCCTTCCGTCCACCGCCTCTTATCCTTCCCCTTCGTTGCACCTTCCGTCTGCGGGCTTGCACGGGCCGCACCACACAAATTTTGGGGGAAGAGCGCAACGGCCATGCATGGGACAATGGCGTATTTCCTTGACTGGTTTTTATTTGTCTTTGTTGTACAACTAGCTATTCGTGTGTACGAAATTATCTCACTCCGATGCGCGCTGTACTGTGCCGTGTTCCGGCACCTATTTGCCGAGCACGTCAGCCATGTAAGACGCAACGCACGCAACGCACCAAAATGGCCGCGAGAAGGCAGGGGAGGAAGGAGCGAGGATAAAGAACAGAATTGGGAAGGAAAGAAAATAAAGCCGAGTTGGGAAGCTGCGATGGAAACCCATGGCCGAGTCACTCTTTCCCGTTTTGATTTCACAAGTCACGGCTTCTTGTCACCAACCCTTTCCTCTTCTGTTTTCTTGCTTCCCCCTTTTTCCTTCTCCCATAGATGACATGTATTTCTCAATTCTAAACATCCTCCCAAACGAGCCCACACCAACGAACAACGCTCTTCTGGTGGCATTTTTGTGTTTATTACACTGACGAGCGCAAGCCGACGCCGGGCTGAAAGCAACAGCAGGGCCCAGGTGTCAGCGCGGACACCAATGCCCGATGCATGCAGCGAAAAGCAAAAAAGTAAAGGATCGTCCCGAGTAAGCAAAAGCTGCCGAAGCGCACTCGAACCGCCGGAGCTTCACAGACCGCTTGGTTCAGGTCCAACACCCACACACGCCAGGGTGCCCCGGTCGAATGCTTGTGTGTGTGGCCCCCACTGCGAGTGCATCGAGACGATCTGACCGTTAAAGGCACCACCTCCCACTTCCCGTCTCTCTCCCTCTTCTCTCCCACCTCTCAAACGGAGCATCAATCAAGTTGCTTCGTACCTTGACAGCATGGCAGCCGACGAAGAAAAGGTGGCTCTGGGACCTGCCCCAGGCGCTTCAACACCGCCCGCAACAACGGCACCATCAACAGAACCGACCATCTCAACACAGACTAAGGAGACGAACAACGAGATCACAGACGACAACGAGGATACAACAGACGAGGACGACGACAACAACGGCGACGATGGCGACGACACCCGCAATGTGAGCCCGTACGAAGTTGTCGCGATCGAGCAGGTCGATGCCGCCGGCCTCTCAGCGGCCGAAAAGGGCGTCGCCGGCATCGTCGACAAGGACGAGGCACGGCTCGACGGGAACGAGGTCGTCCACCACCCAAGCGGCAGCCGTATCTCGGCCACCCTGTCACGCATAGCCAGCAACGCCAGCTCGGCGGTCCGCAGCAGAATGAGCAACGCCAACAGGGCCGCCGCGGCCGCTGCACGCCTCGCCGCGTCGCCGATCCCGCTCATGGACCTGGACAAGGGCATCGTCGGATGGGACGCGCCCGACGACCCCCACTACCCGCTCAACTTTGCGCCGCGCCGCAAGTGGCTCCTCATTGTCTTTTTGGCGTGCATGACCCTCATGACGCCCTTTGCGTCGTCCATCCTGGCGCCCGGCATTAAGTACATGGATGCCGACTTCAACAACGACGACTTGACGACTGGCTCACTGGCCGTGAGCATCTATCTCTTGTGCGTGGTTGTCCACTGGCCCACTCGACCCGTCCTTTCTTGCAGATGCCGGACGATAAGCTAACCATCTACCACTCGTACAGAGGCTATGCTGTAGGACCACTATGTAGGCCACTCCGATTGTATCCTATGTACCACTTCCGCACCACTAACCGCAAACAGTTCTTGCCGGCATGTCCGAGCTGTATGGCCGCCACGTCGTGCTCTCGGCCTCCAACATCTTCTTTTGTGCCTGGCAGATTGGCTGCGCGCTGGCACCGTCCTTGCAAAGTTTGATCGTGTTCCGGGTCCTGGCTGGCATTGGTGGCAGTGCGTGCATAAGTTTGGGCGGTGCCGTGATTGGTGATCTTGTAAGTCGGCCGGTGGCAGACGAGAAAGAAAAGAAAAGCAGAAAAAGCATGCAGATCTTGAGGACTGACTAGACATAGTTCCCGATCGAAGAGAGAGGCTTGGCCTTGTCCATCTGGACCGTCGGCCCGCTGTAAGCCCGCGCCATCCCCTTCTTGTTTGTTTATCCCCCATTGCAGCCTCTTACTGACGTTGGTCCCCGTTGCAGTATCGGCCCGTCCGTCGGTCCCATTGCCGGTGCTTGGATTGCCCAGACCATCGGCTGGCGCTGGGACTTTTGGATCGTCCTCATCCCCGGCGCCATCAACACCATCGTCATTGCCGTCTTCAGCTCCGAAACCAGCCACCACGTCCTCATCCGCCGCAAAGTCACGCGCCTCGCCAAGGAGCTGGGCCGCAACGACCTGCGCAGCTGCTACGACAACCCGGACAAGCCCCGGCCCACAACCCGCCGCGCCCTGCTCCTGGGCCTCATCCGCCCGCTCAAGATGCTCGCCATGTCGCCCGTGCTGCTCGTCATCTCGATCTACACGGCGTTCGCGTACGGCGTCCTCTACCTGCTCTTCAACACCATCCCCATGGTCTTCCAGGAGGGCTACCACTGGAGCATCGGCATCACCGGGCTCGTGTACATCCCCATGGGTCTTGGATACTGCGCTGGCCTCCTCCTCTTTGCCAACATCTCCGACAGCACCGTCATCCGCCTGACCAAGAAGAACGGCGGCGTCTACGAGCCGGAAATGCGCCTCGTTGACTGCATCTACTTTGCCTGCTGCCTGCCCATTACCTTTTTCTGGTACGGCTGGTCCGCCGACAAGCAAGTCCACGTATGTCACAGTCCCCCCGCCCCCCCTTTTTTTTATCTTTCCTTTTTGTTTGGCTACCGGTGTTGGGTTCTAACAGTGTAGTGGATCGTCCCCGTGCTCGGCCTGTTCCCGTACGGGTTTGCTGTTATTGGCGTCTGGCAGCCGTCCCAGGCCTATGTTATCGACGCCTACGGCCACTATGCCGCGAGCGCCACCGCCGCCTTTACCGTCTTCCGATCCGTCGTGGCCGCCTTCTTGCCGTTGGCGGGCCCGACCATGTACGCCACGCTGGGTGTGGGTTGGGGCAACAGCTTGTTGGGCTTTATTTGCATTGCGCTCATCCCCGTGCCGCTGCTGATCTACCGCTTTGGCGGTACGTTGCGGAAACGCTTCCCTCTGGATCTGTGAAAAGGGTAGGAAAGGCATACGCATTTGATTTACTCTGGTCTTATTCTTGGCTTTTTGAGTTTTCTTTTGGATCTTTTACACCTTACACCCGTGCATTGTTGGATTGTCTTGGGGATTTCATAGCGAGCGACTGTGCTTTTGCACAAGCAGGATAGACGGGGAGGAAAAGCAATTAATATTGGAAAAACAAGAATTTGGCTGCCGCTCGGTCTTTTTTGTACATGTTCTATCGTGTATGCACTCCCTTGCTCTTTAAACTTTTATATACAGCTTGCCAGCTTACCAGCTTACCAGCGTATCAGCTTACAGCTTACAGCTTACAGCTTGCTGTCCCGCTGGGCCGGCACCTGCAGCGGGTCGTACACCTTGCGCGCCAGCTTGTCGTCCGGCACGCCGTTGGGGTGGCTCGTCAGCGACCGCGTGTCCACCAGCTCCGGGCCCAGGTCGTCCACCGTCCGCGCGCCCACCAGCCGCATGTCCATCTCCAGCTCGTCCTTGAGCAGCGCCATGGCCCGGTCCACGCCCTCGAGGCCGTACGCCGACATGGCGTACAAAAAGGGGCGGCCGATGCCGACGCCCTTGGCGCCGAGGCACAGCGCCTTCAAAATGTCCGTCGCGCGCCGCAGGCCGCCGTCCACGTACACCTCGATGCGGCGGTCGAGCCCGCGCGCGCGCAGCACAGGCATGGTCTCGGCCAGCACCTCAAGCGCCGACCGCGCAAAGTCGAGCTGGCGGCCGCCGTGGTTGGAGAGCACGACGCCGTCGACGAGCCCCGTCTCGGCGGCGCGCACGACGTCCTCGACGCGCTGCACGCCCTTGAGGACAATGGGCAGGCGCGTGACCGAGCGGAACCACGGCAGGTCGTCCCAGCAGAGGCTCGGGTCGATGAAGGAGCTGATGGCGCGCGCGGCGCCCTGCGACGTGTCCGAGGCCATGCCCTCCTTCTTCTGCACGGAGCTGCCGCCGCCGCCCAGCGCCGCCGCCTTGGCGCGCATGTCCTTTTCGCGGCGGCCCAGCTGCGGCGCGTCGACCGTAATAAAGAGGGCGCGGCAGCCGCGGGCCTCGGCGTGCTGGATGATCTTGCGCGTAATCTCGCGGTCCTTGTTGACGTACAGCTGCAGCCACTGGTAGGGGTTGCCCGGTCCGGCGGCGGCGTCCATGATCTCGTCAAAAGAGCACGAGGCCAGCGTCGGGATCATCTGCACGACCTGGTGGCGCGCCGCAGCCTTGGTCAGCACCGTCTCGCCCTCGGGGTGGCCCAGCTTGCCGAGCGCCGTGGCCGTCACGTAAAAGGGCGCGGCCACGCGCGCGCCAAACATGCGCGTCGACAGGTCAACACGCTCGACGTCGACGAGGACGCGCGGGCGGAACCAGACGCGCTGGAAGGCCGCACGGTTCTCCCGCAGCGAAATCTCGTCGTCGGCGGCGCTCGAGTAGTAGGCCCAGGCGCCGCGCTTCATGACCCGGCGGGCGACGGCCTCAAAGTCGAGCAGGTTGTAGCAGCTGTCGACGGGCGGCATGAGGGCGCGGGCCTCCGCGACGGCCTTGTCCTCGGCGGCCTCGGCCTCCTCCTCGGGGGTGCGCTTACGGTTCTTGTCGGCCGCCGCGACGGCGTCCATGTCGGCCACGGGGCCCAGGTGCTTGGACTTGTCGAGGTACTTGTCCAGGGTGTCGGGCGGGTGGACGGGTTCAAAGGCGGACGTGGCGTCGCGGCCGGCATACTTGAGGATGATCTTTTGGCCGCCGGGGTGCTCGGGCAGGAACTCGGTGACGTCGTAGACGTTGCCGCGCACAATGACCCAGCATGAGTCGGCGCTGTTGTGCTTGCCGATTTCTGCTGCGGACAAGGCCATTTTGCAGTGTGTGCTGGGAAGAGGGGAGATCCGAGTTCCGGGTATTGCTCGGCGAGTCGACTTCGCTGAGATGGTTGACGTAGAAAAGCAGCGACAGCTAGAGACGAGGAGGTCGATTCAAGTCGAGAAGAAACAATGCTGGAAAGAAACGTGGAAAGCAGAATTGGAAACGAAAGTAAAATAAAAACGAAACAAAAATAAAAGAAAGTTTCAACCATGTGCAAGTCAATCCACAAAAAGCGCTGCATCCAATCGCTGTCTGTCGTCACTTTGTTCTCTCCTGCCTTGCGCTCGTCCGACGGTCATAAGCATTTCCTGGTTATTCCTCTCCTTCGTCGTCTTTCTCCTCTGCGGAGTGGCTCCAGTGGTCGGCTATTTTTGCGGGGAGGCGTGGTCTGACCCCAATAAAAAAGCTGGGTCCTGGGACTCTGGTGTAGCCATCGCCTGCAATTATGTCCTTGCTGGACCAGCCAGACCGCAGTCTTTGGACATCGAGATGGCACTAAACCAGAAATGGAAACATTGCCTAATACGGCCGCCAGAACATTGCGACCGCCACCTCCATCTGTATTGCGTAGATAGAGTCTGTGAAACTTCACGTGGTGATGAGAACTCGCGACGTTCCGAAGGAGTTGTGCCTAGCAGAGTCAAGGATGCTGGGCGCATTGCACTCCTGAACGAGTTCCGAGAACGCTGGAGTACCGAATACCAAAATAAGAATGTTGAACAATAAAAATAAAGGCACGTCATGAGAGATAGAAAGAACAAGTAAATGACGTCTGAAAGGAAAAAGCCGCTGAATGAACGGGGTATATAAACATATTGTGGCATGTGAGACCCAAAAAGATAAGAAAGAAGAAAGAAGAAGGAAGGGAAAATAATAAAAGAAATAATAAAAGAAGTCTATGTCAAACCAGAGACATGCAACGTACAATACGAAGCCGAGTCCATCGCATCTATACCAAAAGATCCAATGCATATCCCAAAAATATACGCTCCGAAAGGGCAAAATAAAACGCCGGCAACGCATCACCGGGTTGACGATGTCGACTGGCTCGCAATGCTGACCGGCCGCTTGGCCGAAGTGGCACTGCTGCTGCTGTTGTTGTGGGCATTGTGGCTGCGCAGCCGCGACAAGAAGCCGCCGCCCCGCTCTTGGCTGAGGATGCTCGCCGCATCACTGCCCTGCGGTGGGCCTTCGTTGAGCGAGTTGGGCTCAATGTGCGACTGCGGGAAGTAGCCCCATTTGCCGCGCGCGTTCGTGCCCGCCCAGCACCAGTGCTCTGGGTGCGACCAGATGATGTTGGTCACCGTCTCGTTGCGGTCCAGCTTGAGCCACTCCGAGTTCCGGTACGCGCTCGACGACGCCCACTTCCACCGCGCCGTCGCCCGCAGCGCGCTCGTGCCCTGCGTGCGGATCTCGCTGCGCGGCGGCGGGTCCAACCGGATGTGCTCCACCGGGAAAGGGCCGCGCACGTTGTCGAACCACCCCACGGCCCACTCGCCCTTGTACTTGGCCGGGAACTCGACGCCGACAATCTTGGACCCGACGGGGAACTGGATGGGCACGGCGCCGTCAAACGGCCGCCGCAGCGCGTTGTGGGCTTTGCGGAACGTCTCAGTGGCCACGGCGGTCGGCAGCTGCAGCAGTTCGCGGCGGATGCCGTCGAGTTCCGACGGCACGGGCGGTGTGGTAAAGTGCAGGTCATAGTCATTGCGGTATGGCTCGGGCCGCTCGGGGCCGTCAATGACCGTGACCCCCGACACCTCGGGCAGCGGCCGCGGGTGGCGCGCCAGGTGCGAAAACAGCTGGCCCTGCGTGAAGAAGACGGTGGCGTCGCTCTCTTCGAGCGTCCGGCCCTCTTGAAGACAAAAGATGCACGCATACAGCGGGTCGTCCACCTGCTTGGCCGGGAGATGGCATTTCGACAAAAACCGCAGACGGAAGCCGATGCCATGCATACGGTAGTTGGCATTTGCTGTACGCTGTTAGTTTGGGCCAACTGCGAACAAAAACAGAAAATATAAAACAGAAATCATCAGGGGCGAACGGGAGAAGGTACGTACGCAAATTCTGGCGGTCCTTGTCGACCTCAGACCACTGCAACTCGTAGAGACAGTGTGTGCATTTGGCGGCATACGCGCCTGCTCCGCTGTATGACTGTCTGAATGTTAGCAAATAAATTCGAGGAGAGAACAAAAGTCAACTTAGGCTTGGAGGTTCGTACCAGCTTCTTAATCTGCCGCACACCGGCGTGGCCGCGTTGCACCTCCCTGGCACCTTCACAGAAGCCCTTGAGAAGATGGTACGAGCTGCCAGGGCCAATTTTGCAGTCCGCCGTCCGGCGTTGTACGACACGCTCCTCGTTGGCACCGCCAGCAAGACCTTCGCTGTTCGAGCTGTCGACTGGGATCAAGCCCTGGTCAATGTCGACAACCGGATGAATTGGCTCCAGGCCCGGCTGCTCATCGAGTTGCGCTTGCGGCACGTTCAACGGTATTGGCGGTGGCCTCATCTCCGACTGCAGCGGCTGCTGTGGCTGTTGTGGCTGTTGCTGTTGGGATCCAGACGCGAAGGATGCCAAGAGCTGCGGTTGCGGGCTGGCTGGCGAGTTGGGGCTTGCAGCCACCGCGGTGGTCGGTCCCGCCACGGGGCTGATTGGGTCTAGAGACGAGTCGCGCAGCTGGTTGCTGAGTCCGTTGAGGTACGAGTCGAAGCTGAACACGGACCCGTTGGTCGAGCTGGCCGTCGAAGCCGTCGTGTTGCTGCTCTGGGACTGTCGGGGCGAGATATAGCCAGATGCCGCCGATGTCGGGCCGGTTAGAGACTGCCGCGCTTGCTGTTGCTGTTGCTGTTGCTGGGAAAAGACATAGTTTTGCCCTGCTGCCGACTGCTGTGACGGCAGCGACCACGTCGCAGACATGACCGGCACATTTACGGGCGGTGACGACAGCTGCTCTGGCCGCACTGGCATGGTACGGGGCGACGGGTCGGAGCCCTGCGCCACCTGCTGCTGCCAAGCGTCTACACCGTCGTCGAGACGCCGAGGATATTGCTGCGGTGAACTAGGCAGCGGGAAGGAAGATGTTGGAGGCGGTGGTGGTGGGACCACAAAGCTGGACGACTGTGGGGCTGTGGCTGCCTTTGGTGACGGTAGTGTGGGCGAGTCGGGCCGTGTCGAGATGCGCCGCCGCCGTTCCGGCACCTCTCCGTCCTCCGTCTGGTCATGGCCAGAACCCTCACCCACGCCACCATTGCTCTGCTCCTCGCCCTCTTGTCCTTCAGCAATGGTGTCCACCGAGGGCCGCTCGCCAATCTGCCAGGGGTTCACACCTGGAACGGGTGGTGGAGGCTCGGGAAGGGACGGTGGTGGTGGGGGAGACGGTGGAGCTGGCTCGGGGATGGTGGGCAACATGGTCGGGCTGGCGATTGAGTGTCTTGATAGCGCGGGAGACGCGCCCCCTTTTGGGTTTTGTGCTTGCTGCGGCTGCCCGTTGTTCCACCCCATGTCCGGCCCGCCCTGGGTGCCCATGACCGGTGGTGCGTCCTCGCGCTGTTGTGGCAGAGGCACTGCATCCGCGGGCACGTGCACAACCGTGTCATACCGTTGCATGCTGGGAACAACGACACCCGGTGCACCACTCCCCTCGCTCAGGTCCAAGGCGTCGTCCGGTCCGGGACTGCGTGCGCCGGAGTAACTGGTCGCGCTGTAGCCGCCGAGACTGTTGACACGCGAGACGCCGGCGTTGAAAAAGGGCGATGACTGGGGGACAAGCGGCGTCGAAGGTGTCGAGTTACCAGGTGCCACGACTGCTGCTGCCGCTGCCGGTGCCTCGAGCTTCATCCGCCGCAGAATCGGCGTGATACGTAGCGTCGTCTGCTGCGCCGTCTTGCCGAGCTCCTTGAACTTGTCTGCGTCGAAGCTGTCCGGTTCGGTATAATCATCAAAGACGTACACGAGGCTGTTGAGGGCGTCAATGTGCTCGGCAACGCCATCTGTGCGTATTAGTCTACTGCAAGTCGGACACAAAACGAAACACTATAACACCGCAACTGGAACACGGGGAAACTCACCATGATCTCTCAGGGCCGTGACAAAGTTCTCGCCATAGAGCGTCAGATTCCGCTTCGCAATAGGCTCGAGGGCCTTGCGGGCCCGCTCGCCTTCTTTGAGCAGCGCTTGTGCCGCCTTGGCCATGTCCTGATTGTCGACATCCTGGGCAGTGTCGAGGGCAGCCTGAGCCTTTTCGACAATTTCTGCGAAAGGGCCGAGCAGAAGAAAGTCGATCTCCTCGTCCATGGCTGCGGTGTGGGTAGGTGAAACGACAGGTGTCTTGAGGTGAGCGCAGTAGAGTGGAAAGGAAGAGGAAAGAAAAAAAAATAGAGGAGGGACGACGGCAGTAAATAGTGTCGATGGAAGAGGGAGGGGGGTTGAGAAGTGGCCAGGAGATAATATTGACAAACGGTCAACGTATTCACAAGTCAGGAATCGGCGATGCTCTCCTTGCTGGGTGCGTCTTGTGCGTCCCCTGCCGGCCGCGACTGCCTTTCAGTGTTGCAAGCGAGTCGCGCCCTGGGGGGAGGAAGCTGCGTTGGGGTTGCGCCGGTACCTGGGGTGCACCTTCTAGAAATGTTCTTTTGTCTTTATTCGTGGTCAGGGGAGATATCAGAGACAAGGGAAAGCGCTGACTGGGTAAGACGGGTTGGTGATCGGTTGCAGGAAGGAAAAGTTGCCTGGCCAAAAGAGGCAGGCGCGACAAGATATCGTTCCTCTTCAAGGAAAGAGGCTTGAAGGCAGTGTGCACGAGCGTCACGCTAGGCGGGCGGGAGATCAGCCCAACCAGACGACAGAGAAAAGGGGGGAGTCAAGAGCAGGCAAGAACGATTGTCTGCCACAGCTGAGGACAGAACAGGAAAGTGCAGAGAAGGGGGGAAAGTGCCAAAGCAGCAGGGGCTTCCGATCAGCAGAGGGGACGAAAACACAAGAGGAGGAAGGAGGAACGAAGAGGATAGGCAGAATGAGAAGGCAGGCGCAAGTAATGCAGGGCACCTTTATGAGTTGATTGAAGCCAATGCTGCGAGGCAGAAACGACAGACAGGAGTGGGCACAGAAGGTGCCAAGGGGAGTTGTTCCAGCAAACGGGAAGGTGCTTGCAGGACACTTGTAATAAGTAAGGAAAGAGGAAACGAGGGCGAACATGCACGAGGAACTACTCTGCGTTTCTTTCTGTCGTGTGTCCTGGCCCCTCTTCAGCTTTTTACTGAAATCAATATTGCAATATTGCGCTTCGCGCTTCACACATGCCCATGAACAAGACAAGAACAGGACACGCCGGGCCTCAAATGCCAGAACGCAATGGTAGCCTTGTCGGTGAGTTCGATCCGGACACCAGACAATGTCCAGTTGAGCCTCAAGGCAACAGGACGGAAACACGAGCTCTCCATGCATCGACAGAACAGGACTGGACAGCCAAGTTGCAGAGACGACGAAGGGGGGGCTGGCATGCGCCTCGTTCCGCACCTCGTTATGCCTGTCTTGAACCTCTCCCCTCCCCAGCTCTGCTCCGGCATGCTCCCTGTCTGACCCTGCCGAGCCGCACATGGAACCCCTCTACCATGCTTTTTATGGACCACACAAGATACTAAGTTTACTAACAGAGTTCTGATCAAAGCTAGGTGACAGGGCGATCCACTTTGCGCGGACGCTGTAGACTGTTATCAACATGGACGCATGAGCTCCCCTGCTCCCCTGTTCCCCTCTGCGTCGACGTCTTTGGGCCGAGAAGAAACACTCCACAAACCACTGCAACCGCACTGGAACAAAGAGATACCAGCCGGGTCAAGAACCTCCTGGAAAGGCAGAGCGCCGTCAGGCACAAGCACACCAAGTGAAGTGGCCCAAAGGCAAGAAGTAGAAGCTCTCAGAGGATTTCGCTATTACCCCTGGGACATGCAAGGACAATGGTAGATGCAAGGACAATGGTAGGGAGAGAAGGCCTAAGTCTTACCAGGGAAAGTCAAAAGGGCAAGGCGCACCCCGGCCAGTGTGTTTCGTGTCAAAAGAAAAGGAGAGATTGCAAGCCTGCAAACCAGAAGATGGCAGATGGCATGCGTCGCAAGACGGCATGGCTGACTTCAATTAGCGGTCCCAAAGCAGGCCTCCAAAGGCCAGAGAAAGACAGGCAGAAGCGAATGAGCGAAAGGCAACGCGCACATTTTGCAGTTGCATGTTTGTTCGAGGCTGTGCTATAGGGGCTTACAGGGAGCCGACAACAGACAACAGATGCTCCAACACATTTCCACCATGTCCAACAGGAACCTCTTGGCGCTGTTATCGAAAAGCTAGTCGTCGACAGACACAACTGGCGGGAAAATGACAAACGCGACAGGAAAAATCAATAAAGCTGCTGCTCAGCCTCCCGGCCTGGTGTCGATAATGCAAAAGCATAATGCTCAGCTTGTCTTGGCTTTGGGAGCTTGTCGAAAATTGGCTTACAGGGCGAGAGCACGCCCGCCAGCAGCTGGTCCCCATTGGCCCAGCATCAAGCACAGGACTGGGGTCGACAGTCGACAAGTGTCCATTTTGGCTTTGACAGCCCCAGAAAACCTGCCTAGGGAGGACTGTCGCAACTTGGCGCCCGTCCTCGCCCAGTCTTGTTTCTCCCTTTCGGTTTCCCTTGGCTCCCCGCTATAATTTATGGTGAAAGGCTCTTCCCAAGGCTGAAACGACCCATGCACCTTTTGCGTTGTCCAAACACCACACGATCCCGGACGCCATTGGTACGGGAAGGGAAGGGAAGAACGGTTCCCTTCGGTGGCGGCATTTAGGTACCATGACGTCGTTCCACCGACACGAGGTCGTTGGACTGGACAAGCAGCGGCACGAGGGCAATAGGCACTTACTATACGGTAGTCCCTGATTGACTGTGTTGTGCTCAAGCCACTGAGTGACTCAACAGGCCTCGTCTACAGAGGACAGGACAAGGACGAAGTCTCGAGACATGTGCAAGTCCGCTTGGCCAATGCTCGCTCCCAGCCAGCCAATTCGATCATGACGAAGGAAGCTAGAGGGAGCTATCAAGACATGAGCACACGAGCAGGTGGCCTCTGTAACGAGAGACCATGGATGCTGTACCCCTGTCTGTCTGTCAGAACCGACGCCGCATCGAGATACCGATCGCTTACATCCGGACTGCCGTTCCTCCCATCGTCCTGCTCATGCGGGTTCTTGTCAAAACCAACCACTCGGCTACGATCCCTGAGACCACATGGCGAAGAAGGAACGAAGACGACACATCACCACGAAATGGAAGCACGTGTGGTATTTGAAGAGATGCCGTTTTTGGTAACAGAGCCCCTGATTACCGGCAGTGGTACCAATGACATGCCTGCAAGTGCATTTACCCCATTTTGAGCTCCTTTCCAGTCCGTTGAACATCATTCCTCCGTTCCCACTCGTTCCCAAAAAGCAATGAAAAGCTATCCCAAACCCAAAGAAACCCTTGTAGCCTAGAAAAAGAAACCTAGCCCGGCTTCCCGCCGCCTACGTCATTTTCAATTCATCCAAAATACAGCTCCTTACAACGCCCCAACTCACCCGCTCACCCGCACATGCCCAGGCGCGGGTGCCTTTCTGTCTCACCGACGACAACGATACGGCAAGCAAGCTAGGCGCGACGTTCACCAGCACCCTGACAAACGGCATCAGGACTTTCTACAGTTCCTTGACCGGTGCGGGAACCGTCGTCGTGTTGCCATTGTGGATGGTATTGTTGCTGGACGTGTCGGTGAACTCGGCAATGAGGGAGCGACCAACCTGGACAGACTCGGAGGGACCGCGCTGGCGCAGCCAGAATCTATTTCGACACCGTTAGCCCTCTTCGACGCAAACCCAGAAACAGCCAACCACGACCTCGTCTTTGATCACGACCATCGAGGGGGGGAGGAGGGGAGGGAGAGAAGCAAAATGACTCACATGTCTTCCGGCTTGTCCAGGCCCTTGACCGCCAGCTCGCGCGCCTCGGCCTCGACCGCCGCACGCGTAATCTTCTCGGCGTCTGTCACACCGACGCCGCCCGTTACGCCAGGGCTCAGCGCCTTCTCGGCCTCGTCCTCGTCCAGCGACTCCGCCAGCGCCCGCTTGCGCAGCGCGAACCGCTCGGCACGTTCCTTTTGCAGGCCGGGGCTGTCGAGCTTCGCGACGACATAGTGCACGACGGCGCGGACCGTGTGGTAGACCTGCTCGGCAAAGATGATGCTCAGCAGCAGGGCCCAGGCTTTGATGTCCCAGGGCGAGTGGTCCGGGCCAAAGGTGTTGCTGCGGAACAAATACACAATGGCGGCGCTCGTGATGCTGCCGAGCCACGACAGGAAGCCGAGCGAGGTGAGCCAGGGGCCGATGGAGTCGCCGCGCCAGGGGATGGGCCGCTGGCTGCTGACAGCAATCTTCATGGCGTCGGAGCGGGCCTCCACCCAGTTGTTGACGAGGAACGAGCAGGCGGTGAGCGGCCAGACGACGGAGAAGAGCGACAGGTAGCCAAACTGGACAACCATCTCGCGGTAGTCAATGGAGACGTCGTAGACGGCCAGGGTGGCCTCGTCGCGCACGCGCTCGAGGAAGGCGGCCTCCTCGGGCGCGTCCTTGGCCGTGACGTCGCTCTGGCCGCGGTACGCAATCTCCTCGGCGGCTTTGAAGACCTTGCGCTTGACGTAGGGCACAACGGCCTCGATCAAGAAGTTGACAATCTGGGCGGTCACCGTCAACGAAATCACCTGCTGCGTGAGGCGGTGCGTGTTGACCTGGAAGTTGGCCTTTTGGATGGCGGTGTGGTCGGTGGCCGCAGACCCCTTGTGCGCGCCGGCGAGGCGGTGCGTGACGGCCTGGAAGACGTTGAGGTAGGGCACGAGGACCTTGCCAAAGGGCACGTAGACAAAGGCGGTCAGGAGTACGGGCAGATAGGAGGTGATGAAGTTGATGACAAAGATCTTTTGCACAAAGGCGGCCTGGTGGTCGTCCTGGGTCTCGTAGTTTTCAATGTTGGTCAGCTGCTCGGCAAAGTTGGTCAGGATGCCGGTGAGCAGCGGCAGCAGGACGGTCAGCAGGACGGTGGGCAAGAAGGTCAGGTACTGCTTGAAGGGCCCGTTGTAGAGCTCGGTCATGAAGATCTCGATGGAAAAGCACAGGATGATGAGGCTGCCCAGGACGGCCACGCAGGCGAGCGCAAAGGGCACCTGCAGCAGCTGGTACGACAAACGGCGGAAGGGCGAGTAGATCTTGACGGTCTCGCCGGTGACGGGGTCCTTGGCCTCGCGCTCGAAGCGGAACTGCGGGCGGGGCAGCTGGATCTGCGAGACGCCGTGGACGCCCCACTGCACGGCGAGGTCGACCTCGCGCTTCTTCCAGTACTCGAAGAAGACGACGGACCACAGGCCGTTGACGGTGGCGTAGACCCACGAGAACTGGCCGATGGCGAGCCAGGCAAAGAAGCCGAAGACGGCCGGGAACAGCAGGAAGCTAAAGTAGCTCTGCATGAAGCCAAAGTAAAAGGCGACGCGCTCGCCAAACTTGTCGCGGATGGCGTCGAGGTCGGCGGCGTCCAGCATGTACTTGGTGCTCCACTTGCGCAGCCAGGCGCGGTTGAAGGCGTGGTCGTGCAGCGGGAAGATGGACGCGACAAACTTGTTCTGCGCGGCCACATTGGACTGGCGCGCGCCGGGCCCGCCCTTGGCCGGCGACGCAGACGCGCCGAGCGTGCCCTTGGGCGTGATGCCGGCGCCGCCCTCGGCGCGGGGCTTGCTGATGACCAGGTAGGCGAGGCGCAGGCGCTCGGCTTCGGAGACGGGCTCATCGGCAAAGTACGAGTTGTAGTCGACCTCGACGCCGCCCTGGTTCTTGCGGCTGGGCGGGGCGGTAGTGCGGATGCCGTAGAGGTAGTCCTGGAGGCGGCTGCGGTAGATCTGGGCGCGCAGCAGCTTCTCGGAGGCGATCTTGCAGAAGATGAGCAGGGACGCGCGGTCGCCGCCGGGGCGGACCTCGGTGGCAAAGCCGGCGCTGGCGAGGGCCTGGATGACCTGGATGAAGGCAGCCTCGGCCTCGTCGCGCTCCTTGGGCGGGATCAAGAAGTGGATCACATAGTCGACGCTGCGGGCGGGAAAAAAAGGGAAAAAAAAGTTAGATGCGGAGAGGAAGAGTCTCGGGGGCGCTGTGGACATACTGGAAGTTGTTGTTCAGTTCTGGCTTGTCGGCGGCACCCGGGCCGTAGATGTCGGAGATGGTGGCCATAGTGAGCGGGTAGCTCGCCAAGAGCGTCGGCGGGGCAGGCTGGAAGCACGAGGGACACAGCCAATTCTGGCAAAAGCAACTGTGAGTCTCTCGAGAGAAGAAGCGTCACGAGAGGAGGAGATGAAGCCGAGGAAACAGAGGGGTCGGCTCGAGGAGGGACAAAGGAAGCTGCAGGAAGGGCGGCAGCCGAGAGAGTTTTAGGTGCAAGGCGAGAGTCGAGAAAGGATCATAGGAATGCTTGCTACAGGACGAGAGGTGCTGCCAACCTCGATGCCGCGTCGCAATGAGGAAGAGTGAAGAAAGGAAAAGAGGAAAAGAGGAAAAGAGAGGAAGCAGAAAAGGCTCGATCCAAGAGCCGTCCAACTGTGCAGGAAGGAGCTCAGAAGTGTGTGGGCCTTGGCACAAAAGGCAGGACGTCACCAGCGAGACTTACAGCTCCTGCCATGTTGCTGGTCACTACGTACGTAAGGCAGGAGCAGCCCCGCATGTCGGCCAATCAGCCAAGCCAATGCGCGCCAGCTGGACGGCGGAAGCTGCTAAAACTCGATGCACGGCTCCACTCCCGATCCTTTCATACGATGTAGCGACAAAGATTGGGATAAGGGGCAGAAGTTGGACGGCGGCGCTAGGAAGACGGTGGGACAGATTCAGCTGACATGGCAGAGTGGAATAAGTACAGTGTAGGACGACTTGAGAAAGAACAAAAATGCGTCATAGCAATCGAGCTCAGAGCCACAGGTGGCAGTTGCCTTGTATTGGCCCGTGCGCTGGTAGCGGGTAAAAGCTTGGCGTTTGGAAGGACACAACAGCACGATCCGGGAAGGCACCATGGCCATTGGCAGGAGGGGTTCGTTCTTGCCTTGGAGCTTGCGACATTCGTTGCAAGCTTGTGTCGCACGGAAAGTGCGTTTACACGAGGGCCAGAATAAGAAGCAGCGACTCACCGACTCGCTCCCACGGCTTCGTCCCACTTTATTCTAGTCCCGGTAAGCTCTCTGGCTCTGAACCAAAATACCCCACTATCACCAACGTCGTCGGCTTAAGAGCAAAGCCAACAGCTACGACACTCACCCGCCATTGACATCGAGTTGCCGTTGGCACCCCGCCGCCTCAAACCACCCATCTGTTGAGTTGACACAGCCATCGAACACAGAACACATGAGCTCGTCGCTGCTCGTGCGCCTCGGGTTGCGGCAGAGCGGCCCCTGGGAGCCGCCCACGCTGCTCGACCGCCTGCTCGCCTCGCCCATCCGCGCGGCCGCGCACTACCTCTACGCCTGGATCGTCGGCGTGCGCGGCTGGGCCACGCGGCGGCACTTTCTGGACGCGGCCGAGGCCCGGGCCACGCCGACCATCCGCGTCGTGTGCATCTCGGACACGCACGACCAGATTGTCCCGGACATTCCGGACGGCGACCTGCTGATCCACGCGGGCGACCTGACGGACCACGGCCGGCCGGCCGACCTCCAGGCGCAGCTGGACTGGCTGGCGTCGCTGCCGCACCCGCACAAGGTGGTGGTGTGCGGCAACCACGACAGCTGGTTTGACCCGGCCGCGCGGGTGGCCAAGGGCATGGCGGCCGACGCGCCGGGGCCCCGGTTTGCCGACAACATGCACTACCTGCAGCACGAGGCGCGCACGCTCCAGTTTGCCAACGGGCGGTCCCTCAAGGTGTACGGCGCGGCCGACATCCCGCGGTGTGGGCCGGACTCATTCAGCTACCAGTACGACCGCAGCACGCCGCCCTGGCAGGGGCTGATTCCGTCCGACGTCGACATTCTCATCACCCATCCGCCTCCGGTAGGTCATGGTCCTCGTGTGCTGTTGTGCTAGTTGTAAGGTTTAGTTTTTTTTTCGCTGACGTTGCAAGCGCCACCATCTCGACCTGGGCCTCGGCTGTGCCGGCCTGCTGGCCGAAGTCTGGCGCGTGCGTCCGCCGCTGCACGTCTTTGGACACGTGCACTGGGGCGCAGGCCGCCAGCTCGTGTTCTGGGACGAGACGCAGCGGGCGTACGAGGTGCTGACCGAGGACGGCCGCGAGTTCGGGCAGCCGTTCCGGGAGGAAAGTCTGGGCAGCCGCCTGGGCTACCTCGGCCGGCTCGTGGCGGCGGCCACGATGGCGACGGTGCTGCTGCCCGTATGGCTGTTTGCGCCCGACATCCTGGCGGCCGAGGGCCGGGGCGCGAGCTCGATCCTCGTGAACGCGGGCCAAATGTACGGCAACTCGGGCCGCCTGGGCAACAGCGTGCAGGTTGTCGACATGTAAGTGCGCAGGGTCGGCGGGTAGGCATGTAAATTGCTTCTTTATAGTACAGCATGGACGACTAGGGACAGGACAAAAGAAAGAAGACAACAGCCAAAAAAAAAAAAAAAAATGATACCCACTATGAGAGAAAAACGCCTGCCAATGCTTTGTATATGTACACGTCCACGACTTGATGTATGTGCTTAAACAAAAAAAAATTCCTCCCACCTCCCCTACACCATCAACCGCCGCAGGCCCTCGGTGCCGCCCAGGACACGGCGGCCCGTCACCGCACACCGCCCCTCGCCGCTCTCCCACCGGTCCGCCTTGTCGGCCATGAACGCCTCTTGCTTGTCGTGCTGGCCCGCCACCCACTTGTGGATGCAGATGTAGCAGTAGACGACGCCCGTCTGGCACACCGTCGGCGTCGTCATGGCGTCACAGCAGATGGGGCAGAGGGCCGAGTCGGCGGGCGCAGGGACCGTGTAGATGGGGCGCAGCGACGGCTTGGCAATCGGCGCGCGGCGTGCGAGGTCTTGTTCGGTGGGCACAGCGTCGGGGCCCGCCTCGTCGTGGGCAGCTGCCGTCGCTGCCGTCGCTGCCGTCGTCGGGGGGGTCGCCGTCTCGTCGGCGCGCCGCGTCGGCTCCTTCTTCAGAATGCCCTTGCGGCCGATGCTGCCCGTGTTGGAGGCACCACTGCTGCTGCTGCTGCTGGTCGCGCTGGTCCCCGCAGACACAGACTGGGCACCACCTCCACCGGCGGGCAGGCCGGCCGACACGGGCGGCGGCAGGTCCAGGCTGGCGGCCGCCTTGAGCGACAGCTGCTTGGCAAAGTCCGACGCGTGCCACCACTCCAAGAACTTGAGCGCGAAAATGCTCGCGGGCAGCACCATGGACAGGCCGCCCAGCAGGCGGCTCCCGACGGACCGCGGCGTCGACGACGTCGACTGCCGTTCGGCCAGGTCGTCGATGGCCCGGTAGTCGGCGCCCGTCATGCGCCGCACGCGCGTGCCGACGAGCCACAGCAGTGGGCTGGCGTAGCGCGAGCCGTCAAAGAGGTAGGCGAGGTGGAACGCCAGCACGGCAAAGCCGTAGGCGGCGTGCACGCTCGGGTAGACGTGGCGCAGGAACCAGCGGGCGGCGTGCTGCAGGCGGTCGCGCAGGGTCGGGCGGGCGGGCAGGCGCTGGTAGGCGGCGCCCAGGCGGGCGCGGGGCGCGTCGCGCTCGTAGGCGTCGTCGAGCTTGCGCTTGAGGTAGGGGACGCCGACCACGACGCCCAGGTTGCGCCAGAGGTCGCCGCTGCGGCGCAGCTGCAAAAACGTGCGCACGACGGCGGGCGTGCCGGCGGCGGCGCGCGGCACCTCGCTGCTGGCGGCGCGCAGGCCGCCCTCCAGCACCCGCTCGCGCTTGAGGCCGTAAAAGTGTTCGGTGAACGTGCCGCCCATCGTCTGGAGATAGTAGTGCTCGACGACGAGCATGGCGAGCGCGTAGAGCTCGTCAAACGAGTTGAGCGCGCGCAGCAGGTAGCGCGGGTAGCGCTGCGTCGCAATGGTCAGCAGATACCGCAGGGTCGGCGGCAGCAGGCCGTGCAGCTGCTGTTCGGAGAGCAGCTCAAACAGCGACGGCTTCTGCTCGTCGACCATGGCGGCGTTGGCGTCCATGGCGGCGGCGCGGGTGTCGTGTGTGTTGGGACGTCAGTCGTCGGAGAGCCGGAGATAGGGTGCCGTCAAGGATGGCGTATGTGGCGAGTCTCGCGTCGGGTGTCGTGTCGTATCTGTTGGAGTGAAAAGTGTCGATGCAAATGAGTCGTTTGGTGTCAGATGTGAAGTTCAGCGAAATGGCAGGTGCGTTCACACGAATGGATCCGCTAGGTAGGCGCGACCGAACAATGCGGGAGCGTAATTGCCGAGGCACGAATGCTGCCAAAAGCTGGGGTGGCATTTAGCGCTGCCTGCACTAGCACCTGCCATTCAGGCAAGTCAGCACTGTTGAATCTGTCGGGGTCGCTGACTCCCTGTATCCACTGTAATGTCGTATGAATCGTGCTGTAAATTGGACCCCTACAGGGGACAACCTGACTTGGAAATACTCCGGGCGGGCGTCGGAGTGAGATAGCGGAGTTCCGTAACACCCCGAAATTCCAACTCCATCTTCTGGGGAGGACGTTGCGCCTCAGCGAGTCGACGAAACAAGCTGGCCGCGCCGACCTCTTCTTCACCGTGTTTACTTCTTTCATTCTTGGATTACGTTCTTTCGTCTTGTCCCTCTTCAAGGCCAACTTGCCTCTATACCGCAGCCATGGCCGGCTCCAAGATGACCAACGCCGAGCGCATCACGAAGCTGCTGGAGATGATTTCCGGGCTCGAGAGTGTAGGCATCAAGGTGGGTGCACGTTCTCCTTTTCGAGCAAACCAATGTGGCAAGACACGTTCAAACACGTCGACTGACACAGCGAGGACTTCATGTCGTCCTTCCTCCCGCACTTGACGCTCGTGTCGGCCGACGACTTTGAGACGGCCGCCAGCCACCACCACCCGCCGCGGATCGTGTTCGGCTACTCCGTGCAGCCGGAGCACTGCAACCGCATGTACAACATGCACGGCGGCGCCACGGCGGCGCTGTTTGATTTCTGCACCAGCCTGGCCTTGGCGCTGGCGCCGTCGTCGCCCAAGGAAGCGTCGTCGCCCCAGGCGGATGCCGCGCTTGCCGGGGACAACAACGACGACGACAACGACGAAGAGGAGCTGATCAAGTCGTGGCGCCGTCTCGGCGTCAGCCGGACCCTCAACGTGACGTACGTGCGGCCGGCCCCTATGGGCCTGGCCGTGCTGGTCGAGTGCGAGCAGGTGCATGCGGGCCAGCGGCTGTCGACGCTGCGGGGCGTGCTGCGGCGGGCCCAGGACGGGGCGGTGCTGGCGACGTGTGAGCACGGCAAGGTGAATATGGATCCGGACAATGTGCCGACGCCAAGCAAGATCTAAACGGGAGCGAGGAGCGAAAGACGCGGAGTGGACGTTCTGGACGTTCTGGGCGTTCTGGACCCTGTGCGCTGTATGGGTATCTATATACAAAAAGGCCGGCCATCCAATGCCACTATTTACGACTCCATCGTATGTCTCCCATCTCACATGATCAAACCAAAAAGTGCTGCGCCCACGTTATACGGCAAACGGATGCTCCTCCTCCTCCTCCTCCTCCTCGCTGTCCCACATGGCAAGATTGCCGCCCAGCTCGTCGACAATCTGGAATTGGGCCTCCACGTAGGCGCCCAGGGGCAGCTCCAGGTAGGTGTAGAGGTGCCGAGGTTCCTGGAAGGCCGGGAGGAAGCTGACGGGCTGCTGGTCGTCTTCGCTGGCGCCGTCAAACACACCGTCGTCGTCGTCGTCGTCGTCGTCGTTGTTGTTGTCGTGATCGTGGTTGTCGTTGTTGGCGGCTGCGGCCGTCATGCTCCGCGTCGTGGGGCCGGACGTCCCCGCCGCAGCGCCCTGGCCCGCCGGACGCGACCAGGTGGCCGAATTCAAAGCATTGGTGCTGTGCAGCAGGTACATAAACGACGGCACCGTCCCGCCAAACGGAAAGCCGTTGAAGCCCGGCGGACTGGCCGGCAGCGGCTCCACCTTCTTGGCATGCACCTTCCAAAACGCCGTCGGCCCGCAGGGGCCCCGCCGGTCGAAGCCGGCGTCGAACCAGTTGCCGAGCACGCCGCGCCCCGAGCGCCGGCCGCCGACCTGGATGCCCTCGCTGCGCCAGCGGGGGTGCCCGTCAAAGGTGGAGAACGTGGTCCAGCGGACGTGGCCCTCCTTGGTGGTGCGGACGGTGCCGTAAAGGCCCGAGTTGGCATTGTCGTCCCAGGGGCTGTCGACGCTGTGCGACATGCCGTGGAAGTGGACGACGGGAAAGTCCGGGTGGGTGTTGTCGTACATGCCGTCGTCGGCCGCGGGGCTGCTGGCCCGCTGCCCTGCGCTGTCCGCTTCTTCGTCCGGTTGCGGCCGCCCATCGCGCCATTCGATTCGGGTCACGTGGATCTCCATGACAATCAAGCGCAGCTCCTCCTCGGACAGAAACGGCGGCCGCGGCACGTCGTCCGGCACCGGCACGTTGTTGGGCTGGTCGTCTTCGTCGGGGAAATTGAACCGGAAAAAGTCCGAGTAGTCCAGAAAGCTCACCAAGCGCATCCACGTGCCCGTCACGCCGTACGGGTCCTCCGCATCCAGCGGCACCGTGTCGTCCGGCAGCGCGTCCATGTGTGCGTTGGCCACCAGCGGCCGGTAGCTGCCCGGCGAGCTGCCCTGGAACGTGCTGTTCCAGTACGCCGCCACGACCCCATACCGCAGAAAGCCCTTTCTCAGAATGTTGGCGCGCAGCACAATCATGATGGCCTCGACCTTCTCCCAGTCCACCCGCCCGGACCCGTCCGCCATAAAGGGCCCCCAGAGGCTGGCCCGCGTGTACTCGCGCATGTCGTACACTTTGCTGACGGCAAACGGGTACGCATCGGCCGCCCGGTCGGACGCCACCACGTACTTGAGCAGCACGGCACCCAGCAAGCAGTGCAGCTCGGCGCTCGTCTGGTGGTGGGCCTGCGGCGTGGCCGGAAAGGTGAGTGCTGCGACTGGACGTGACGTCGATGCCGACGGCAGCCCTGCCGCGGCGGCCGTGTTGCGGATCCGGTCGTAGAGAAACGACCGGCAAAAGAATGCCTCGTAGTTGCAGCGGCCTTTGATGAGGCGGGCGAGCCGGCGGGCGTTGCGGTGGGTCCGCGTGCTGAGGTCGAAGCCGCCCTTGGTGGTCTCGCAGGCGACGCCCAGGTACTGCTTGACCAGGCGGGCGACGAGGTCGAGCTCGGTCTCCTTGGAGGTGCTCTTGCTGTGGCAGATGCTGCGCAGTCGCCGGAAGTCAACCAGCTCGCGTTCCCAATTGATATCCGATCTCGCGGGTTTGTCCTGTGGAGCCGATGCGATGTTAGTCAACTTCCGAAGCAGGGAACAAGCAACGCTCGCGGAAGACGCACAAAGTAATTGCAGTAGACGAGGCGGTGCAGCTGGCTGTTGCCCTGGACGTAGCTCTGCATGGATTTGCTGGCCAGGCTGACGGACAGCAGGTCGAGGGGCGATACATAGCTGAGAATGGCGGTGCCCACCTCTAGGGGCAGGTCGGAGAGGAGTATCATCGTGCCGGTGGTGTCGGAGTTGTCGGAGGTGTCGGTGGTGAAAAAAAAGGCGTAGGGGAATAGAGTATCGTGGGTTTGTAATACAGCGCCGGCCGATAACGGTGGCCTATGCGGCGGGCAATGAGGCCAGCGGCGGAGCTGTGACTATATGCAAAGCCGTGTGTAGCGTAGCAGTCTGCGTCGTGTCGCGTTGTGCCACGGGTTGGAGCTTTCGGTGTTCGTTGTACAGAGAAGGAAATATTGACAGAAAGAAAAAACGATGCCCTAAGATTTGTGCCTGCATTTGCGATGACCGGATTGGCCGGGGCATGAGCGTCTTCGGACAGTTTTAGATATGGGGCAGGAGCGATTACGACGTAATACTGGGTTCGATTGCAAAGGGAAGGCGTGAGCCGTTGAAAGGCGGGGCAGAGAAACGTGCAACAGGGGGGGGCGGAAAAGGGAAGTGACGTTCTTCAGGATCCCGGCGGAGCATCCAAACGTGTTTATAAAAAAGGAAAGAAGTGAACGACAAAATAGAAGGGGAGGAAATCGTAGGAAGGCGCGACCGGGGTTCACAAGCACCACTGATTAGCCTTTTTGACGTAGCGCCACAGATATGTGTGGGGAAGGCACGATGGTTCGGAAACGTGAAGCACCACAGTATTGGGAAAGTGCGAGCACAGCGGCGGATGACGACAGAATAAGCGGCTCAGGCAAGCATACCCACGCGACCAGTAGATTCGGAGAGGGCGGTGGCCGTGAGGAGAACACGAATAACTGCGATACTGCGCGGAGACAGCTCGTAGGCACAGCTCTAACGCCGGACTGGGCACTAAGAGCGGCAGCGGACAGACGAGGGAAAGGATTTAAATGGAGTTAACATCTGGAGAAAGAGAAAGCGACTGCTTCTCACACGAGAAAAAAGAGGCACAACTGGGAGACTTGGCTAGGAGCTATTCTTGAAAGCAGCGACCAGTCCTCTCAATTCTACTGCTGTCAGCTTCACGTCTTCACGTTGGTCTCTAAAAAAAAAGAAGAACCGCTCGCGGCCGGCTAACACGGACCAGGGCATCCGCGCCGATGCATCGTACAACAAAAGGGCCATCAGTGAGACAACGTCAGTGAGACAACGCCAACGTCATTTACACGGCCCCCAAGTCCCCTCTCACATTGTGAGACACAAACAGAAGACCTACTAGTCCACCGATTTCAGTCAGTGCGTGGTGACTGGAAAAACGAGCGGGCATCACACAGCAGGTGTTTGGTGGTGATTAGAAAATACGGACCGTTTCCGCAAGACCAGGCCAGAAGCCGCTTGTCTTTTATTAGGCACGTTTTGCATGTCGCAGTGTGAAGTCACACAACGGTTCGCCTGCTCCTGATTTGGGCGCCTGTAATGACATATGTGAAACGCCAGAAGACGTTGAGAAGATCCGTCTGTACATCACTCTTGATCTGGACCGGATCACCAAACTGCCTTATAGCCAGCTTGAACAAGGATCGTCATCAGACGTTCTATGGTTCGTTAAGAGTTGTTTTCGGGTGATTTTGGTCCGGTAAGTTTGTTTCTTATTTTTTTTAAAAAAATGTATTCATAATTTACTTGTTTGTTTTGCAAACATTTATTTATTTGCCAGCACATTTATAACAAAAGCTAACGCTAGTGTAAACAAATTTACCAGCAAATAATAACAACACGAGTGTATTTCAGATTGACTTGCCAAAGTATTAGGTGAAACCATGAGTTTTTATGTCTCCTCTGATGTATAAAGGGTATGGGGTATATGTAAAAGATGGAACAGAAGTGTGTGGCGAGAATGGAAGAGATCATAAAGACAACAAAAGAAACAAAAAAACCAAACAACATTAGAATAAACATCAGATAACCAAAACATAATGTACTGTGTCCCCCGCCTCTGTCTCCCCATCACCACTCCCCTTTTTAACCGCCCCAGAGTTTGTAATGCCGTGCCAGTTGTCCCTTTTTTGATGCCACCCCCTACCTCCACCCGGCCCTCGGGCCGTAAAAGTGAATTAGAATGCGTGTATGTCCAAGTAAGAAAAAGAAGGTGCAAACCAAAGGCAAAAAGCCCCACACTTTACTCCATCTGCCCCATGTTGAGCTGGATGCAGTTGCCCAGCAGCGCGGCGCCCTCGTGCAGGAGCTCCCAGCGCGCGCGGCTAAAGGTGGTCTGCAGCACCAGCAGCAGCGATGTGTTCTGGTTCATGCCGCGCTGCGCCTTGAGGTCTTCGGGCGAGGCGATGCTGCCGAACCGGTGCAGGTACTCGCGCATCTCCCGGACCTGGTCCGCCCACGTCGAGGGCACGGGGGTGCTGGGCGACGCGCCCTCGACGGCGTAGCCGTAGCTCCAGACGACGAGCGCCGCAAAGTACAGCACCCAGGGCCGGTTGAGCAGCACGTCGTCGCGCGCCGAGTAGGTGGATTCTTCGCTTTCGGATACCGCCGCTGGCGTGCTGACACCGCCGCCGCCGCCGCCGTTGACGGTCGCAGCCACTTGCAGCGGGCTATTGCCCTCATTGCGCAGCAGCACGGAGCACAGGAACTGGATGGCGTAAAAGGTCGCGTCGCGCGCCTTGGCCGTCGGCGCCCAAATGTCTTTCATGCGCCGCTTGACCGTGGCCAGGTCCGGGTTGGCAATGGCGCGGCCAAGCAGCCGCTTGGCCCGCGCATACACCTGCAGGTCGACCACGTCGACGTGCGTGGCCATGTGCGCAAGGTGGTGCAGGACGACGCGGCTTTCAAAGACGACATTGACGTCGCTGTCGCTGTCGCCGCCGGCGCCCCCGCTGCTGTACGCATACGGGTCCACGACTTGCCCACTGCTGTCGCGGCGCTGCAGCGACTTGTCGTAGTCGCCCTTCCACGAGTCAAAGGCGCGGTTCAGCGTCCCCCGCCACTTGTCGCGGCCGCCGAGGCCTTGAGAGCCGCCCAGCGAGTGGACCTGCAGGTCGCGCTGGTGCATGTGCCAGGCGACGCTGAGCAGGCCGGCCATGAGGATCGTGCGGCCAAACGCGTTGGTCTTGACCTCGGCGCCGCTCAGCGTCTTCTTGATGCCTTCCAGAAACGCAATCGAGCGCGTGCCCTCGGACGCGAGCTGGGCCTCGGCCCGCGTCACGTCCATGCCGCTCGTCGCCTTCCACAGGCGGTCGTCGCAGGGCAGCGGCAGCCGCATTTCGTGGGCGACCATGACGGTGGAGTGGCCAAACATGGTGCCGTGGATGGAGTCAATGACAAAGGCCGCAAAGGCGGTGCGGCGTGTTGCCTCGTTGGTGATCCAGTTGTTCCACCATTGGTCCTGCGTGTAGATGCCGCCCGAGGTGGACGAGTGGCGCGAGGTATGGTCCTTGTCGCTGCCGTCGACGCGCGGGTTGGGCGGGGACTCGGCCGCGGTCTTGCCGATAAGGGAACGGCCACGGCGCATCAGCGTAATGGTTGTGGCGTGGTGGATGTGGGCGCGCTCGTGCAGTTCCCGCGTTGAGAACATCTTTTCGTACAGCTCGAGCAGCAGCAACGTCTGGAAGACCCAGAGCTTGGCAGGCGGGCGGAAGTTGGGGTCCATGAAGAGCTCCCAGCGCAGGTGCCACGCCAGAAAGTTGGACAGCTCGGCGCCCGCCTTGATCGTCTCCTGGTTGTGGGACTTGTCAAGGCATGCGGCGCCAATGATGATGATGGCAATCAGCAATAGGTCGGGTGCAAGGTCGGGCGAGAAGGTCGGCTTGTGCAAGATGGGCACCTGGTCGCTGAAATGAACCCAATACGAGACAATGTACGCCTGCATCATGTGGCGGCTGAGCATATGCGAGTCGTTGGAGCGGTCGCCATCAGTAATAAGATCGTTGCGGCGGCCAATGGGCGTGTGGCCGTTCTCATGGAAGCGCTCCTTGATGAGCTCAAACAGCTCTTGGCTCTTCTCCTCCGACAGGAAGGACGAGCCTGGCAGATCTTGGTCGACCAGGTTGGTCACGGACATGACCTGCTGTGGCGCCGCGGGGAAGTATCCTTGCTGCGAGATGTCGTTGCCAGGGTAGGCAATGCCATACCGAGTCGGGACGTCGCCATAGGCACTTGGTGGGGATTAGCACTTGGATGTCACAATGAACAGTACGCGAATTGCAGAAGGGGGAGGGGGAGGGGGAGGGGGGGCTCGACTTTTGGTAGTTTAGCATCGGAGAACCCTCGGTGGGCGTATTGTGGAACAGATAGAACATGAAATCGTCGGGAAGAATGCCGACGTGCGGGGACTTTTGCAGCACGTCGGCACCGAACATGGTCATTGTGTTTGGCATGGACATTTGGTCTAGCATCATCATTTCACTGCCCGACTGTGCCGGCATCGCATCGTAGTCACCGTGGGCCGCAGAGTAGTGCGGGCTGTTATTGTTATTGTTGCTGCTGTTGTTATTGGGCGTGGCGGACATTGCGGCGCCAGCGGCGGCCAGAGGATCGCGGGTGACGGTGGTCGGCGTGTGTGGCGCCGAGCCGGGGATGGTCGAATTGGTGCCGTTGTTGTTGTTGTTGTTATTGTTGTTGGCTGCGGCGGCGGTATTCGGCACGAAATTGGATGGCGGAAGGTCAAACGCAGGGAAATTTTGCGTCGCCACAAAGACAGAGGTCTGCGGCGTCGCGGCTGGATGGTTGTTATTGTGGAAGCCACCGGCGGAATGCGAATGCGACGGCTGGTGCGGTTGGGCGAGCGGAATCGTGGGGGACATGGCGTCATACATGTCGCTGTTCTGGGTACTGGCAGGCCTTTGGGGGATGGCGGGGGACTGATATGTCGGCCGCAGTCTCTGGAGGGTTGAGGGCGTCTGGGCGCCGTGGTTGTGGTTACCGTATATGGCATTCTGGTGGTCCTGAGCGGTGTGCGCTTGCGTATGTGTGTAGTCGCCTCCTCCTGGCGCTGGGGGGAAGCCGTTCGAGTAGCTACCGGTGGGTGTGCCGGACAAGGGCGAAAAGGGCATGCTGTTGTTGAAGGCCGAGGGCGACAAGTCCATCGGACCACCGCTCGTCTGAATTTTGTGTCCTGCTGGGGCAGCCGGGCGGCGTGGTCGAAGGCTCTCGGGCGAAGTCGAGCCGGGTCCACCGACAAACGGAGTGCGCGGTTCCTGAGGGGCTGGCGAGGACAGCCCTGGCAGAGGGTCCTTGCGGTTCAACGATGAGCCCTTGGCGGTATGGCGGTCTCGGTGTCGATTACAGAGATCGAGTCGCACAAAATGCCTTTCGCAGCCGGGGAAGTCACACATATAAATCTGCTTCGGCGTGTGATTCAGCTGATGTCGGTGACTGTAACTGTCAGTAGGGACTCGACGCATTTGGGAGGCTAGCATGTAGATGACGTACAGATGCTCGGCGCGCGAATAGCTCTTGCCACAGCCCGAGTGCGGGCACTCAAACTTTTTGTCAAGGCCTTTGCGGCTCCGTCGGCGCTTACGGGCCGGCCCGTCGGAGTTGGACGAGTTGTCGGCATTGTCGGCGTTCTCGTTGTGATCGCCATGGTCCCCATTGGCCTCACCATCGCCGTCGCCCAGCGTGTCACTGACACTCTCCTCCTTGTCGTGCGAGCCGTGGGATCGGCTGCGATGCCGTCCGCGCTCGCGTTCCTGTTCCTCGTCCAGCTTGAGGTGGGGTGGGGTGGGCTCTTGGGTGGTACTTGTTTTTGTTTTTGGAATGGTCTTGGATTTCGAGCCGTCAGCGGATGGCTTTGTGCGCGAAACAACAGCCAGCCGTGATGGAGGTTTGTTGGTCTCCGGATGGCGTGAACCAGTGGACGGGGATGCTATGAGGGACGTCATTCCTTTCTGTGTTTTGCCTTTCTATGATGTATGTGTCTCTGTGCGATTCTTCCTATGCGTGGGAGGGAAAGACGGGGGTGCGCTTGTCGATGTTTTGTCTTGGCGGACGGAAGAAACAGACACACGGCCGGTAGGCGACACGAGAGGTAGGTGAGCGGAGACAACAAGAACAGGTGAATCGGAAGGATGACAGGAGAAATTGAGGGGAGGGCAAGGTTGTGCCAGTTAAGACAAGCAGAAATGAATGAAAGAACGAGAATGGCGGGCGGCGAACTGTCAACCAGAGCTTGGGGACAAGCTGGGAGCACGACGTTTGACAGGGGGCAAGGTGTAACGAAAGAAAAAGACAAGCATGACAGGAGACAAGACAAGAAGAGGGTGCTGTGCGCGACCGTGCAAGCTTGGTTACGCAGGACAAGTTAGTCAGGCAAGTCCAAAAGTCTCGCGGGGATAAAACACAAGAAACGAACAGGTCGCGGTCAAGAAGCAAAAAGGCCGTCCCAAAGTAGAAAGAGAAAAGAGATAGATGAGTTCTTGTTAAGTTGTGCGTGGGGATGAAAAATGGATGATATGTAACGGTGACGACTAAGACGAAGACGGAATGTGTGAAAACGACAGCCGTGCGTTTTATGGGCCGAGAGAAGTATATAAAAGATATAGAAATGGACGAAGTCGTGATGGTCGTCGACCAAGATTAGAACTGGTGCGGCCGTCTGTGTCAAAGAAGTGGCATTCGAGCAAGTGTGCTTTTGTTCTTGTTTCTGCACTTTCTCTTAACAACCCTCTCCCATACCAATTGGGTGAGGGATCATGAGAACATGACTGGCTGTGGTAGTTCCGTGGTTTGCCGGCGAGGGACGGTAAACCAAAAGGTCGCGAGGCGGGACGAGAAGGTGTACACGATGCTGTAGACGGGTATAGGCGTTCGGCGTCGGATGCGCTTAACGGAGAGGTAGACTTGTGGTGAAGGCACGGAATTCTCGAGGTCTTGCGGATCGCTAGACGTCGAGTACTGCTCCGTGCGTGGGAGACGTGATATTCAACAGGCCAACAATGGAAGCGACACAGAGCTTCGCGTCAGAACCTGTGCGCAAAGAGCGAGAGGTCAGTTGGGTGAGGTGGCAGAATAGAATATCCGGGAAAGAGAGGAAGGAGGGAAGGGGAAAAAGTGATAATAAAAAGCAAGAGAGAAGGGCAAAAAATAGAAAGAGGCACAGAAAAGGCAAAACATGGGAAATGGAAAGAAGACGGTTGTTGCAAACGACCAGGGGGGGTGGATGGAGGATGAACACAGGACCGATGTATGGGTGCACCGAGCAAGAGGTGGTATTAATACGGTGCCGCCTGTTGCGGCAAAACAGAGATTTGGTGAGAGACAGAGGCGGGCGCCACTAGTTGAGAACAGTCGAGGCTTCACGGGTGCACGATATTGATTGATCAGGCCAGGCTGTGAGGATGACCATAAGCAAAACGACTTCGTAGAAGACTCAAGAGGCAGCAGAGCGGACAAGGGAATCTTCGCCCAGGAGCGCAGAGGAGAATGAGGAGCAGGACGAAGCGGAGGAGGGGGTGTGTGATGTGTCGTGAGGAGGCTAGAGGGGGTGGACCAAGCGCTGCTGAGGCGGGACTAGTGACCATAATAGCGCGAGGGCAATACGGACGAGGAGAGAGGACAAGGGCAGACGGAGTACGCCGTGTGTGGCACAAAGTGAAGGTATGCTGTTTGATGATAATTTTCTGTTGTTTTGTCGCGGCGAGGTGAGTAGGTCGTAACTAAACATGTGCGCATAGAGGAAATGAGTGCGTGTGGTGGTGGTGAAGGGGCCTGCAGGCGAATGTGGCCATGTGTGCACGAGACGACTTGGTGGCGTGTGTCTTGTCTTGCCTCTTTCAGATTTTTTTGTTGCAGTTTATGCACTTTTCGCAGTCTTGCCCAAGATTGGCTGAAGCAAAGCGAGGGAATTACTTCTGTACTCGCCAGGCACTGGGAGGATGCAGGACGGAAACAAACTGGAGACCGCGTTGGGCGAGAAGGCAAATGAGAGTACAATGAAACGACAGGCCACGAAATGGAAGAAGGCTGCAGAATGCAAGAGACGAGACCCTCGTAGGAACGCGTGAGGGAGGATCCAGAGAGTGAAAGGAGACAGGAAAAAAAGTGTCGAGGATGCAGCCCCGGTGTCTCCGCCCGAACCGCACAGTTACAGGCTTTGTGCAGCTTTTGTCACTCTTTTTTGCTCCACAGCAGGGCCGGGTAGGGGTGAAATGCATGTTATGCCTGTGGTCTATGGTTCTGGTCACAGTGGATGCAGAATATGAAGTGTGGTTGCGGTTTTGGCTTGTGCCGTGCAGGACACACCCCGAAGCGGACCAGGCATGGGCGATCGGTTCCAGAGGACGAAAAAAATGAAGAATAAAAAGGTTGCGGCTGATTGGCCGTGTGAACGGAAAGGAGAGGGGAACAGAGCAGGGATGGCAAAGCTGGTCCAAAAGAAATGCGAGAAAAGAAGAAAAAAGGAAAAAGACAATGCCAAAAGACAGAAGTGACGAAGAAGGGACGGAAGAGACTCGAGCAATTCTGTTCTCGAGGATGCAGGCAGTATGGGGCAAAGTAAACAAAGACGACCTTGCACCCGAGACAAGTAAAGTGACACCGCACAACGCTATGAGATGAGATGGAAAACAAACGAAACAAAAGAGACCACAGTATGTCGTAATCTACTCCACGAATCTATACTTACTCAGTAGTGGCGGGCTGACGCGGGCAGGACGACGAGGATGCGAGGGAGGGGACGAGGGGGACTTGGAAGGATTTCGCGTGGAGCTACCGACGGGTGGTGATCTTGTTAAGCGTGGGCCGAGGCGGAGGGGCTATTTTGTGCTGGTCTGAGGAGGATGTGCGTTCGGGGGCTACTGGCCTGCTGGCGTGTTCGATGGCGTGGGAGGTATTCGCAGTGGGACGAGATGTTGCGAAGGTCCAAAAGAAAGCGTCCGGATTTCCGTTGGCTGTTGGACGATGGAAAGTCTCGGATGAGACGGAAGCCGGATGTGATGTGTAATGTGGAAGATGTCCAAAATGGAAATATGCCGTCCTGTTGAATACAAAGGAAAAAAGAAGAAAAGAAAGAAGAGAAAGAAGAGAGAAAAAAAAGGAGGAAGAATGACCCCCAAACAACAGCCGCCGTTCCAGGGCAGTGGTTCAGGTCAACCGGCGAGCAGTTGCCGCCCGTTGTACGATGAGAGGCAAGTACGAAGCGAGACAAGGAGAAAGGGAAAAAAATGGCAAGGAGCTCAGAGGAACCGGGAGAATAGCTGGCCAAAGAAAACGGCTAGACGGGTGACAGCAGGGGAGAATGGATACGGACACGTCGTACTTTGTACCTCCGTACACCACCGTCTTCACCTTTCTATTGTTCTGCCTCTTTCTGGCTTTGCTGGGGTTGTCCAGTCCCTTTGTGCGCAATCTGGGGTCGATCCAACAAAACGTGGGATGCAGGGCAAAAGGAAAGCAGGGGCGCGGGGGAGAAAGAAGGGGAAAGGAGGCGATGGGCGAGCTGTGTTTGGCAGCTCAGCGGGCTACACAATAGCACGACAGCACGAATAGCAGCCGAATACCGTACGCGGGGGTCCTCAGTCGTTAGTAAACACAGCAGATGTCGAAACAGAGCCGGCGTGGGGATAGAAACAAGACGCTGGGAAAGATGAACGACGGGTGGCGTGGGGGGGTCTTTGCCTTCGTGGGAGGCATCCTCGGCGACAGGAGAGACAGATGAGATGGACGTGGAAAAACATGGGGAGACGATGGGGGCTTGGAGAAGAAGTCGCCGGTGGCGGCAGTGCTAAAGAAAGACGAAAGGCGGAATGGGGAGAGGGGGGGGGGGTCAGAGGAAGAAGGGGAAAAGCGGAACGACAAATGAGAATTGGGAGAAAGCGAGAAAGACGGGGGTGGGCTGACCAGGACAGGGGTATGCGTCTTTGTAAAAAAAGGGAAAGAGCGAAAAGGGACAGGGGTGTGGAAAGAGTGTGAGCGAGGGTGGAGAGACATTAGAGAAGGAACGAGACGCGGGCAGGGCAGGAACGGCTTGCGAAGCCGTTTACCTTGTTAGGCCCAGCTCCGGGACTCCAGGAGCCCCATCCCACATCTTACAACGAGAGGAAAGAGCGATTTACAACGAGAGGAAAGAGCGATTTACAACGAGAGGAAAGAGCGATGTCCAAATGAGGTACCGCTTTCCTGTTCAGGCTGCAACGTCTTCATCGTCTGCAACCCCATCGGCCTCGCTCTTTCCTCTTCCTGCCATGATATTTCATTGTCCACCGTCAGGCTTTCCTCTTTTGCTTCACGCGCCTGCTTCTTTTCACTTTCCCCGCTCTGAGGTCCCGTAGCATGCTAGCCTGCCGCCAGCTAACGAGCCAAGTCCCCACAGACTCCTCGTTAGGACTGAGACAACAGGAAAGAGGAAAGAAGACTACTCTGTCTGTACTTCCGTACTGGGCGTCCCCATGGCCAAGCTACTAAAGGCCAAGACCCCAGACTTGTCAAAATAGGACGCAAGGGATATACGACTGCGACAGCTACGCCGAATTGCAAGTGTGAGAGCCTTGTTGTCGGGTGAGTAAACTCGTCAGAAGACCTTTGTGGGAAACATTTCCGTGTGGAGTCGAGTAACAAGTAAAAAAAAAAAAAAAAAAAAGGAAAAGAATAAAAAGTGGATTTCGAGTGAGAAGCAGCTGCTTCGGAAAGCAAAACCAGCATCGATCACAAACGAGTCCCTTTCGCAAAGGGTCCTTTCTTATTTCCAGTTCGGCTTGCCCCGCTGGCTAACAGGAAAAACCGGGCCTGGCGCCTATGCGTGTTTTGTTGTCTTTGGGTTGGGTTATTTATCTGTATGTCAGACTCTGTACAGCCAATGATGGATTTAGCGAATGCGCGGAACGAGTAATTAGCATCGTTTAACGAGCAGCTCTTTTTTTCGCGAGTTCTTTCTCTCCTTTCTTTTTCTGTTGCTAAAACTTATTGATTTTAATTTCCCCTTTTTTGACCTTCCCGCCTTGTTTCCCTGTCTTCGTCACCCTTTTGGGGGCCAACGCAATGAACAGCGCATGGGACTGAAAAGTAGAAACGGAGAAACCCGCATATTGTGAGTTTGCGAGCCGAAAAAGGGGGATGCATACAATAGTGCAGTCGAGTGGCGAGCAAGAGAACATTGACAGGAAGCAAAGAAGAAAATGGATGAAATAGAAAAAATAGGAAAAACAGGAAAAAGAGTAGAAAAAAAAGAAACGAAAATGGAATATCGAAACGATAGCGATCTGCATGTTAGACCCGTTTCCGCCTACGCCCGTGATGGGCAGGACCAGTCCCTTGGGAACGTGATGAGGAAATGAAGAAAGAAACCCCAGACCGGTCACCCACATCGTCGTTTTGCCTTGTGACTCGAAGAAGGAAGCAGCATCTACTGCCCAAACAACAAAAACGCTTGCCACCAGCGCCGACCTGCTGGGACTGCCGTGTCGCCTGGTGATGACGGTACGGTACGATACGATACGGTATGGTGCGTGCGACCTGGCCAGTAGGAACAGAAAAGGGGCCGTGTGGCGTGAACGTTGGGGCGCCTGACCAGTGGCTTGGGATTGGGACTGAGACTAAGCGTGGGATGACCTTTTTTCCTTGGGAATAGGGAAAGAGGAAAGGGGAAAGGGGGTGTGAGAAGAGCGAGACAGGGAACAGGGGAGACGAAAAGAAAAAAAGAGACCAAAAAAAACATGAAGAAGGGATCAGAGTGATGTGCATCTTGACGTCCTCGGAGATGTTCTCGCCAATGTCGTGACAAGGGCTTTGTTTCCAGAGCATACCACCGAAATGAGGGTCGACGAGATCCACGAGCTGAAAAAAAGAAAGAAAGAGAGAAAACACCGGCAAAAAGTGCAGAAACTCCCGCAACATTGTCAACAGCAAAAAAAAGGGTAAGATACCGCAAAGGCCATTGGCACACCACGATTCTGGATGTCCAGATGATACAGTGCCCAGGTCCGATGCGGCTTCTGACTCGCCAGGCTCTCCCCGTCACGGAAACAAACTATTACGTACACAAACCCAGCCCTGGGTCGGCAATGGTCCGGTTCGCCTCATTTTACTCTTGTTGCACTGAATTTTTTTTCTTTGCCCTCCTGGAATGAGCATGCGACCGGTTTCCTTTTTTGTAAACCTAAAGACCAAGCTCTACGCCGTGCAACGTAGTCTTGTGATGTGAGGATTCGTTCCGGCTCGACATACTCCGTACATGACGATGGTAGGGTACAGCATGCACTATATCTGTTCGCTCCGTCCATGCCAGCCTTGACAGACGTTTGCTTGGCAAGATTTGCACATCTTCACCGACTCACCAACTCCTGCATCTTGTTTGCATCCTCCCTTTTGTCTCTCTGCATCTCGCCTCTTGCGTCTTTGCCGCCACGCCGAAATTGTGACAAAGAAAGACAAAACATGCAGCTTCTCACCTTTCGGGATCGCCATTTCAGCGCTCCCCGTCTAGCCAAAGCCGTGCAGTTTTGTCAGGCACCCCATGTTGGTGCAGTTTGTGACCGTATCCTCTCGTTGTCTCTGTGCTTTGTGTCTCCATATTCACACCGCTGCTGCAATGACAATGCGACCCCCGCGAGTTTTATTTCCCAGCCACTCAGCTGTTATAGGGTAAGTGCATCGTCGGAATCCAAAATCCAATGCAAGGGGTCTCTAAGGAAACCAGCAAGTCGTCCCCCCCGTCTCAACTCCGCACACCGACTTCGATGTATCCGCACATTTTCTGCACATTTCTGCACTCGGCACTGGACACTGTCGCTCCTCCATATTATCTGCATGCGCAAAAGGATGGGGGCGGGGGTTGCACTGCTAGTAAGAACAACTCCTGGAGAGAGCGGGGGTCATCTCTCCTCTTCAGTCTTTGACGCGCTCAACACGGAGTCATACGTACAACATAATTTCGATTGGTTTTGGGTTTGCTTATTCTTTGAAGAGCACATCAGAACATGTAATACGTCGTAGACCGCCGTATGTTTTATGGCCCAGTACGACCAGGAAACTAGAACATGCCAAAACTCATCTGTCACGCTTCTTTTCTGCGTATGGTCAAGTATCGACATGTAACCCAAAATAGTATGGCATCTGGGCTGAGAATCCTTGTGTCGTCGGAGGTTTAGCGTGGCGGGTGCCCAGACAAAGGCACTAAAGCACTAATACGAGCACACCGCGCTAGTGGTGTTGGTCACCGACGCGGACGGCACTCCGCAGTCCACAGCGCCTATTAACAGAATTTGACACTAATGTCAACTTGCTAGCAGCCCGTCAGCAGCTTCGCCCCGACGCGCCCTGCGCCCGATGGCCATTTAGCACAAAGCTTAAAAGGCCCCATGGGCCCGTATTCTTGTGGGTGTTGCATTGTGTTTTGTCAAGAGATGCATCGTACGTGAGCTCGAGGCACGGTGCCGTGTCGTATGTTTCGTTGTTGACAGGCGAAGCAGCATATCGGGATTCGTTTGGGCCACGGAGCATGTCGACGTGCCCGTGTGGCCATTGTTTCAAGGTAATATTCACGGAGCACCGGATCGACGGAGGAGACAAGAGAGGCAGAAGCAATGCGACAAACTTGGGGCTGACGGGCCGCTGCACTGCCGTCTGTTGGATAGGAACGTCGTTCCATTTCTCGCTGTTTTTGTCCGGTGTAAGACCGCTCAGAAAAAGGCAAAAAAAAGTGAATGGGAGTTGGATGCTGGCAAAGTGCGGTCCGCAACGTGCGGGTTGACTTTAAACATGGCCAAGTACGGCGTGCATCCTTCGTTGTTTAAATTCGGCAGCTACCCAACAGTGGCCATGATGTTGCATTTTCAAACTGATGCCTGCCGGTTGAAAAATTTCGCTGGCCAGACCACACTTGTCAGAAGTTCGGATACAACAGAACCTAAAGGGAGTATGGAGAACACAACATAGCACTTTTGAAGCGTACAACTTCTGCCAAAAACGACACCGAGGGCAATGGGCGGTGTGGTAAGCGGCGTGCCGGTACGACGTAAAACAGTTGAGGAGGACAGGCGTTTGAAAAATGTCCCCAGCGGTATTGCCTCTCATCTTGCACAATGCTGGTTGTTTTGTTTTTCCCCCATGATGTCGTCTCGAGAGACTGGACAAGACCAACCGGTAGGCCTGCGCTGGAACATGGCCGGAACCACTGACAAAGTCGTCTCAGGAATGGGGTGCATGCCCTAATGCGAGGGGCCGCTGGTGGCCAGCCCATCACCAAGACGGAGTATGTCGTCGAGTATGGAGAAGCCTTTTTTTGTCGTTTCGGTTCAAAAATGACGCTTTCAAGGCCGTTTCTCATTCTCATTTTCGTCCTCGCCTTGCTGCTTGATGTGGATCTCTTGCTGGCATCAGCTCCATTACTGTTGCAACACAAGATGGGGTTGTGTGGATTGCGGGAGTGAGCGGAAACGGGCGCCACCGGCCAGAACAGAGGGACCAAAAGACCTAGAGACCTAGACCTAAGGCAGGGTTTTGACGACGAGTTGTCAGGTCAAATCTGTTTTGTTTCTGTGAGCGTCTTTTCTTTCCATCGTCTTCTCGAATTTGTCTCATGTGACCATTTTGAAGTGCTCTGATTTGGTGACGCTTTTCCCCTCATGCAAGCGAGGCCAGCTCAAACAAAAGTGTCGATTCTTCCCCGTCCCGCAGGGCAAGATGCACAGGGCGCAGGGCGTGCAGACGTGAAGGGAGGGTGCAGTGCGTGCTGCACTGCACTGCACCAGTATGCATTCCCCATCTCATCTGCAGGTCGACGAAAACGTCCAGACAGGGGCAGCAGGGGGAGCTGGCGAGCGGGGGTGCACGAGCGTTCAGAGGCTGCTCACTGACAGATGGACAACACACGACACGAGGTTGGGGGAGAGGGGAAGAAAAAGTGAAAAGCAAATGGAATTGTGGCACTACTGGTCGCCGTCGCTGTGCAGGCGGGTGTGCATCATGCAGATGCAGGTGTGCTGGACGTGCTTTGTGGGACGCGATGCAAGCCGGCGGCCTTGGAAGGAGACGATCGATGTCAGCCAGCGGGGAGAGGAGAAAGAGGACGACGAAGAGGATGTGGGAGAGTGGGAGAGCGTGGGCGACGGCGTGGGAGACAGCCGGAGAATATTGTAAGAATCAATGCACACGGCCAGATTCGTCGTTTGTGAGTGCAGTTTTCGTCCATTCACCCTTTCGTCTTTTCTTCGTGTCTTCCTTCCCCAGACTTTATTTCGTTCTCGTGGAAACAATGCAAAGTTGCGTCTTCTCGGCCTCGTTGTCGCACGGCGAAGACTCGTGATACCTTGCGCCCGCAGAATGAGCAGGTCATCGGAACAAACACGAAAGTGGGAGGGAGGGTAAGACGAAAGGAGGCGCGAGAAACGTGGTGGGAAGAGAGGGTGGCAGCTCCTGCCTCACACACGACACGCAGATGGTGACTGCCTCTTTTGGGCATTTTATTCTCCAAGTCGTCTTCGACTTGACCTTATAATAACAGAAAGAGCGAGTCTTGCGGCTTCCCTTTCAGCTTCGCGAAATCATATAGCAAGAGCAGGTACGATGTGCTCTTGACTCCATACATGGAAACAGCGCACCGGGCAGATTGCATTCTGTGATCCCTTGAGATGGTCCTTGTCGAACCGGCATGAGAAGTTCAGAGAGGTTCGAAGTGGCACAATATGGCACGCAAGGCTATTGTTTCCAAACATGCTCTGCTGGGAACACGACAGCTCTGTCCAGGGGTGATGCTGGGCCAAAGAGTCGTCGGGCGAGCGAGCCGACTGACAGGTGTGCCAGTGCTGATTGACAACTGCCACAACTGCCAGCCGGTGAAGGTTAATTGGCCTCGAGAAAATGTCGTCACGGAAGGCACGACCAAAAAAAAAAAAAAAAAAAAAGGAACACTAATTAATAGCTGTGGGCATCGCAACCACAGCGACCGCGACACAAAAAGAAAGGATGGCTAGCGCCGAGCAGCGCCAATGGAACTGCCACGGCCCACTAATCGGCCACGGCCCACGCGAGTCACGCACGCCGCCCACGCAATTGGCAGCTGGCAATTGGGCAATTCGGAGGGGAGGTCCCTTGCTCTCTGCGCCGTCTCGCCCGCTGCTCTCCTCTTTCTTCGTGCAGTCACTCGTCTGTCCAACTTTCCAACACAATTACGACTGTCCGCAACGCGTTGTCTACTGGCACCACTTCCTACGAGCCCGTTCATTCTCCGAATACGCCAAGTGCAGCGACGTCCTGCCGCCTGCCACGAAGCCGACTCTTCCCTCCTCGTCTCCCGTCCACACATTTGCCCTCCTTGCCGAGTGATCAACCGGACTCGTCGCCTCGACACTGACACGGACAGCGACCCCGACTCTCTTCCTTTTCCTCTTTAAGACACACCCTCCGCAATGCCTCCCAAACCGCGCAACCACGCGGACGACGGCCACGGCCAGAACGGCGGGGGCGCGTCTGGCGCCGGAGGTGCAGCGGGCGGCGCCCACTCGTCCTCGTCGGCCAACGGCGCGCACAGCAGCCATGCAGCCGCAAGCACGGCCAACGGCGGCGCCAGCAAAGGCCGCCGTGCCGCGGCCGCGTCCAATGCCTCTGCGTCGGCCGCTACGGCCGCCGCCGTTGCTGCTGCGCACCAGCAGTCCCTCCTCCAGCAGGCCGTCCCGGCTGTCGTGCTCCCCACGGTGAGTTTGTCCTCCTTTTATGTCCTCGCTACGCTCGCTTCCTTCTTCCCTCCCTCCTCCTTTAATGTCCTCGCTGCGCTCGCTTTCTTCTTTTCCTCCTCGCTCCGCTCGTTTCGCTCGCTGACATCGCCCAGCTACAATGGGCCGACTTTGAACGCGGCGTCCTCCACGCCTACACCCGCGCTTTCCACCTCGACGAACCCTCCTCCTTCAGCAACGACTTTGCCCGCTGGATCCTCTCGCAGCCAGGCAGCATCGGCCTCCAGTCGCCCACGATGCTGCGCCGCAAAGAGGCGCGGCGGCAGAGCAAGGCGCGCCTCGCGACGCAGGTGCGCAAGCACTTTAACGGGCAGGGCGGCCAGGAGAACGACATTGTGGTGGACTTTTTGCACAAAATACAGACGCACGAAGTGGCGCGGCAGCGGCGGCCACGGCGGATGGGGTCGAATGCGCGGGAGATTGATGGATGAGGGGGGGCGCACCTTGCGTCCCTTTCTCTCCATATCTCTTTCTCTCTTTCTCTCTTTCGTCTCTTTCTCTCCTTCTCTCTTTCTTCCTCTTCTTGTTTAGGACGGCGTTTGGGACATGCATGGTGGCCATGGCACGGTTGCGATAGACTTGCTTTTCTTGTTTTTGTTTTTGTTTTTCTTCTCGTCTTTGTTGGACTTTCACCTTCTTCACCGTCTGTACCTTTCCTCTCTTTGGCGGGACATGAGCGCTCTTGCGTAAAAGAAGGCAAGGAAATGGCCCATGGAAGGCATGGCCATGGAAGGAAGGGCCATGGGAGCACAAGGCCATGGAACGACGGCAATGCCACGGACAAGCATCTGGTGATGGCCTCAGAAAGGCCGCAGGACAGCGCCGCATTTATGATACCACAACGATACAGAGCAGCCAATGGATACTTTATTCTATGCTTGTGCGAGAAATGAGCAAAGTCAGTGACCGCGCACTGCCCCATCGAAGCTTCCCGAACGCGCAGAACGCAATTCTCCTTCGCCGCCACCAACGACAAGATGCCTCTGGAAGTTTCGCAGAGACGACAGTTTTTGGTGGCTTTTTTGGTGCGGCAGAACAGCGCGTCACCGCCGTAGTCGGGGAGTAAAAAGAGTGGGTCCAGCACTAGCGCTCAGAGGCGCTGAAAGTTTTAGCCAAGTGGCCTGAGGCAACAATTGTGTACCAGAAGCCACACCCGCCAGGGCCATTAGTGCTGGCGATGGGCAAATAGGCCGCTGGGGGTCCACTGGGGACTGCCGCGGGCTGCATCGGCGAAAAACCCGACGCCAGCCAACGACAGCGCAGCAAAAAAAAAGCCCCCAGTCAAAAAAGGTGGCCAAAAAACCGAATTCGATAAAGCGAAGCCCGAACACAGGTTGACGACCGCAACACACGACCAACGGCCACGGGCACACGACAACACAGCAGACATCACCACCAGGACCGCATCCAACTGTCGTGCATGCCATGAACACCAGCCTCTGGACCAAGGCGTCGCTGTCGGCCCGGCCGCTGGCGCCGGCAGCGCACGTGTGCCGAGCATCGCGGACGAAGCAGACGGCCGCCCGGCGGACGTTCTCGACGACGACGACGACGGCCACACTCCGCTCGACACCCCCTGCGTGCTCGCAAAAGACACAGACACGCCGGCACAGCTCGGCCGCCTTCCGGCCAGCGTCCCGGCCACGGACGACGACGACGATAACGACGACGACAAGTACGACGACGACAAGTACGACGACGACAAGTACAACCGCAGCCAACACCTCCTCCTCCTCCACCTCCTCTGCCCAACGGCGGTCCTTCCATGCCACGGCCCCCGTCGCGGCCCAAAAGGACCCCTACAAGGTCCTCGGCGTCGACAAGACCGCCTCGTCCTCGGAGATCAAGAAGGCCTACTACGGCCTCGCCAAGAAGTTCCACCCGGACACCAACAAGGACGCGACCGCCAAGGAGCGCTTCAGCGAAGTCCAGTCGGCCTACGAGATTCTGTCCGACGCCAAGAAGCGCGAGCAGTACGACATGTTTGGCGCCGCCGGCTTTGACCCCACGGGCGACCCCAGCGGCGCCGGCGGTGCCCACCCGTACGGCCCTGGCGCCAATCCGTTTGGCGGCGGCGGCAACCCCTTCCACAGCGGCGGCGGCGGCTTCGGCGGCGGCTTCGGCGCCAACTTCAACTTTGAAGACCTGTTCCAGGCATTTGCGGGCGGTGCGGCGGGCGGGCGGCGGGCGGGTGGTGGTGGCGGCGGCGGGTCGTCGGCGGGCCAGGGCCGGAACCCCTTCCAGCAGGAGGTGCTTGTCGGCGACAATATTGAAGTGCAGGCCAACATCTCCTTTCTCGAGGCGGCCCGCGGCGTCACCAAGACCATCACCATCACGCCCCTCGTCACCTGCCACACCTGCACGGGCAGCGGCCTCAAGAAGGGCACCAAGCGCTCCAGCTGCCCGTCCTGCAACGGCACCGGCACGCGCGTCCACTTTGTCCAGGGCGGCTTCCAGATGGCCTCGACCTGCGGCACCTGCGGCGGCACCGGCACCGCGGTGCCCCGCGGCGGCGAGTGCCGCACCTGCAGCGGCGACGGTGCCGTGCGCGAGCGCCAGACCATCTCCGTCGACATCCCCGGCGGCGTCGAGGACGGCATGCGCCTGCGCGTCGACGGCCAGGGCGACGCGGCGCTGACGGGCCGCGCGGGCGGCGGGCCCGACTCGGGCGTCCGCGGCGTGCGCGGCGACCTCTACGTCTTTGTGCGCGTCGCCGCCGACGCCAAGTTCACGCGCGCTGGCGCCGACATCCTGCACACCGCCACGGTGCCGCTGACCACCGCCGTCCTCGGCGGCGAGGTCACGGTGCCGACCCTCGATGGGTCCGTCAAGGTCCGCGTCGCCACCGGCACCAGCACCGGCGACCGCGTCACGCTGTCTGGCATGGGCATGAAGAAGCTCGGCAGCAGCTCGCGCCGCGGCGGCAGCGGCGCCTCCGGCGACCTGCGCGTCGAGTTCCGCGTCGCCATGCCCAAGTACCTGTCCGCCAACCAGCGCACCATTGTCGAGATGCTGGCCGACGAGATGGGCGACAAGACGGCCAAGCGCGTTATGAACGTCGGCCGGGCGACCGGTGCCGGCGACGGTGACGGCGACGGCGACGGCCACAAGGGGCCGGCCACCAAAGACGACGACCCAGCGTCGCACAACAACGAAGGCTTCCTCAAGAGCATCTGGCACAACCTGACGAACCACCCAGCACACCAGAAGCAGGACGGCGATGCCAAGGACGCCAAGGCCGGCGGGAAGACGGCCGGCGGGAAGAAGGGCAGCGAGAACAAGGAGACCAAGGAGACCAAGACGGACGAAAAGAAGGACAACGAAAAGAAGCCATAAGGGCAAACACACTCTCCGCTCGCAAATTAGATCTGCCTGCCATTTCGTTTCATTTCGGCGGACAAACGCTGTCCGCCAACATATTCCCATTCTCATGCGCATTTTCCTCAGCTTGCATTCCGGCGGTGTTTAAAAGTAGGGGGGCGTTATCTTGAACATAAAGAAGCAACAAGTGAACAAGGTTTTCAACGAATTCGTGGTGACGAAGGGATGATGGCCATCACCGCTCTTGCCCGCTTTGTTTGTTTTATAGACAGAAACCATTGGATAGAGACAACCCAAAAATCAAAATGTACTTTTATGATATCATGCGTGGAAACAGATGGAGTTTTGAATTCAGTGCAAGTCTGTATGAGCCGAGACGTCGTGATGATGCAAACGAGATGGCGAAATGAAGACACAAGACAGAAAATGCCACGCCGTACCCTGGACTCCTTCTTTGGTATAATGCATTGCCCACGCAAGGCAAGGAAACGAATGTGAGCCCAAAGGCACCGAAGAAGAGCAAAAACGAAGAGGCAAAATGTAAAATTACAAACAAAACAGGGAGTCCTCCAAAATGATGCAATACGCGCAGCCAGTCGCCACATGAACGACAGCCACCCTAACCACCGTGGCCTGGCTGCCCGTACATGCCCGCATAGCTGCCACCACCGCCCTGGCCGCCTTGGCCTGGCCCGCCGGGATTGCCCGGTGCACCCCCGGGGCCGCCATTGCCAGGACCAACACGTCCAACGGACCCAGGTCCGGCTCCGTTGGGGTTGGATCCCGGGCTCGGGCCACCACCTTGGCCGGCGCCCCCTCCACCGCCGCCACCATTGCCGCTGCTGTTGTACTCGTTCTGCATAAAGAAGCTCCAGTCCATCGGGCCAAAGTCCATTGTGTCGGGCATGCTGACGCCGCCAATGATTTGGGGTGTGCCGAGGCTGTCAAAGTACTGCCCGTTGCCACCTTGGCCTTGTCCTTGTCCGCCTCCTCCCTGGCCCTGTCCACCCGGTCCACCCGGTCCTCCCGGTCCGCCCGGTCCTCCTCCGCTGCCTTGTCCTCCTCCGCCCGCGCCACCACCGGGCGTCTGTGTGGCGCCGGTGGGCTGCGCGTAGACGGGTCCGTGTACTTGGTGCTGTGCGTGTTGGTGCGGATGCTGCCGTTGCTGGTGTTGGTGTTGTTGGTGTTGTTGGTGCTGTTGAAGCAGCGCATGTGGATGGGGTTGTTGTAATTGGTGTGTTTGGTGTTGTTGTTGCTGCTGCTGCTGCTGTTGCTGCTGCGCCGCGGGCGGCGAGGATGTCGTCGACGAGGCCGACGACGGATGCAGACCCTGCGCAAGCTGCTGCTGCTGCTGTTGTTGCTGTTGCTGTTGCTGTTTCCGAGATACCGGCTCCTCCATAACAATCTCCTCCTCGGTTCGGCTACCGACGCTCCCAATGTTGTTGCTGCTGTTGCTCGTTGTCGGCAGCGGCCGTTGCGGCGGCGCACCAGACGCACCTCCAAGTGGCCCCACCACTCCTTGTTGCTGCTGCTGCTGATGCTGATGCTGATGCTGATGCTGCTGTGCGATGCTGGCGTTGATCTTGGGCATCGTCTGCCGCAGCAGCTGGATGAACTTGGGCGCCGTGCGCGTGCGGCCCGCCTGCGCTTCGGCCGCCTCGTGCGCGTCCCATGCCTTGATAAACAGCCCGCCAAAGGCTACGTGGATGGGGCTGCGCAGGTTGCGGATGAGCCCGCGGCGGTCGTGGTTCTCGGTGATGGCGGCCCACGCGCGCTCGACGAGGTCGCCCGACTTGCGCGTGCGCAGCTCAATGACGATGAACATGTAGGCAGGGAAGGGGAAGTGCATGTACGTGTACCAGGCGAACCCGCGCAGGCTGTCGGCGCTCTGCATGATGTTGTCGTACTCGACCATGTTGATCGCCTCGATGAACAGCGTGTCGCGCTCGGCGTCGTCGACGACGGGCGGCGCCGGGGCCGGTGGAAGAGGGGCGGGTGGGACCAGATGGGTCTGCGTGTGCGACGGTGGCGGCGGAGGACCGTAGGCAGTCGTGGGCGGGCCCATGCCGCCGCCCATCATCATGCCACCCGGACCACCACCACCACCGCCGCCGCCGCCACCCATCATCATCCCGCCCTCGCCACCCATCCCTCCCATCATGCCACCCATGCCGCCCATCATACCGCCCATACCGCCCATGCCGCCCATCATGCCACCCATCATACCCCCCCATCCCACCCATCATCCCGCCCATCATGTTGCCCATGCCGCCGCCCATCCCACCCATCATGTCGTCCATGTCACCACCCATCATGCCGCCGCCCAGACCACCGCCCATCCCGCCCGGTCCACTGCCAAAGCTGCTCATCCCGCCCATCGGGCTGAATCCGCCTTGGCTGTGGCTGCTGTTCATGGGTGTGGCGGCGTCGTTGGACGACGGCGAGCCGGAGGCGCCGCTGCCGTTGGTGTTGGCAGCAGCAGCGGCGGCGGCGGCGGCGGCGGCGGCGGGCCCATTGCGGGCCAAAAAGTTGATGACGCGCATTTTCGAGAGGGCCTGGCGGGTCATCATGAGGGTGAAGAAGTGCATGGGGATCTTGGGGTCGCAGGACTTGAGGTACGTGTTTTCAATGTAATTGTAGTAGCTCTCGGGGTCGCTGGGCAGCGTCTGGTTGACAATGTGGGTGACGACGTCGGGCGAGCTGGGGCTCGGCGAGTAGTGGAACTTGCGGGTCGCGGCGGCGACCGTAGCGGCGGCACTACCCGGCGGTGGGGCTGAGTTGGTGGAAGGGGCGGCCGCGTTGTTGGCGCCTGTCGCGCCTGCCGCGGAAGACGAGGGGTTGCCCCCGCCGGACGGTTGTGCCGACGGCGCGGAGGCGGGCGAGCCGCCGCTGGCGTTGCTGTTGCTGCCAGAGCCGCCACCAGCACCACCACCACCAACATTGTTGCTGTTGCTGTTGCTGTTGTTGTTGCTGTTGCTGCTGTTGTTGGTGCCGGCTGTGGTGGTGGCAGGGTGGGCGCCGCCGCCGGCCGCCGCATGGGGGGGTCCGCTGTCGGGCGATCCGGCGGCGGTGCACATCTCGACGCGGGTGAGGCAAAAGAGCATTTCGGTGGGGCCGACATAGGGCGTGGGCGCGTCCTTGGCGTGCAGGTGCAGGTCGGTGTCGTTGATGTTGAGGGGGAACTTGGTGTCGGCGTGGCTCGACGAGAGGGCCGTGATGGTGGAGCCGGTGATCTCGGCGATGCGCTTGTCGAAGACGACAATCTGCCACCACAGGCGGCGGCGCAGCTCGACCTCAAAGGGCGGCAGGCCGAACTGGGTGCCGTCGCGGTGCAGGCCCAGGCGCTGGGCGATGCGCACAGCAATGCCAATCAGACAGAAGAGCGAGCGCGGGTCGACGTACTGGCGCACGCAAATCTGCGACTGTTGGTATGTGGGCAGTGCGATGGGAATTAGACTTACTAGGTAGAGGAAGTACGCCTGCAGCACGACGAGGTCGGGGCTGCGCATGAAGCCGGCGTTGATGAGCGCCTGCTGCGCGGCCCGGTGGTACCGCGACAGCAGGCGCGCCTTCTCCTCGTCAAACGTGCTCTGCACGTCCTCCTCGCTCATCGACGTAATGGCAATAAAATAGATGGAAAACATGAGCGCCTCGAGCGGCCGCGGGATCTTGGCCACGTTGGCGCCCGCCTCAATGATCTGCGCTTGCAGCGTCTGTGTGTGTGTGACCTTGAGCAGCGGGTTGACGTTGGTCAGGTAGATCTGCCACAGCTGGAAGATTTGAATGCCGGGTGGGTGGTGGTCCGTCACCTTGGTCGTCTGCCCGCCAATGACAAAGGGAAAGCCGTCTTGGTTGTCAAACATGCTGTCAAAGGCGTGGTGGATGGTGGAGCCCTCGAGCTCGTCGTCGGACGAGTCGTCGTCGTCCCGCAGGGTGTCCTCGTTGGACGAGCGGTACGACCACTTGAGGCGCTCGGCCGTGGCTGCATTCGCCTCGGACGAGTACTCCTGGTTGCTCGACGACGGCGACGTCTTGAGCCCGACCAGGTCGTTCTGCAGCTCGTCGACCTCGTCAATCGTCGAGTGGTAGCCGCCATGGCCGCCTTGGCCGCCATGGGACCCGTGCGAGGTATGTGCCGAGGCATGTGCGTCGTACACGGGGTCAAAGGACACCCCGTGCTGGGCCAGCAGCGCCTCGTACTTGCGCAGGCGCTCGACCAGCTCGCGCTCGTGCGGCTTCTTCTTGCGGCGGCGCGGCGGCTGCGGTGGGACAACGCGGCACTCCACTTGCGCCTTGACGCAGTTGGCGCACGGCTTGTTCTTGTCGCACCGCACCTTGCGCTGCTGGCACAGCACGCACGAGTGGCCGCGCGTCAGTTTGTTGACGACGGCGGCGTCGGCGGCCGACATTTGCGGCAGCAGGTTGTGCTGTTGTTGTTGTTGCTGTTGCTGTTGCTGCTGTTGAAGTTGGTTCTGTTGCAACTGTTGGTGGCCCATATGTTGGGGGTCGGGACCAGGTCCGGACATGCCAGCCAGGCCCGGCATGGGCATCCCTTGTGGAGAGGGTGTCTCGCCAGGGATATCCATGGCGGGGAGTGATGTGGCTGGTTGGCTGTTGGGTAGTCTCTTGTTGTTTTTATTTGTATTTTTTTTGGTTTTCAATATTTTTTTATATTTTCTTTGTATTTTTCGTTATCTCCTTATGCCAGAAGGCGTGGAGAGGACTCGAAGCCGTAAGATCCCGGAACAGCCGGTGCTGAGGCCGTACCTCGCAGCGACGCACCACGGGCCGACGCTCGGGAGTCGAACGGGTTGAGCCGTGGAGAGGGAGCGCGGACGTATGTAGATCGTAGACTCGAGGGCAAAAAGAACGGACGCTCGTGAGCTTGCTGGCCAAGAAACAACAAGGGACTGAAGTGACGGTCTTCGGGTTAGCTGAGGCTCAGTTTCGGATCCGAAAGAAATGACAGGGCGAGAGAGACAAAAAAAGACGAAAAAATCCAGATCGAGCGAGGGGACGGGGCGTCAGGGCGAGAGGATTTTGGGGCCTGGCCAGGGCAGGGCGACACAAGGTAGGGAAGGGCAAGCCATGTGAGGGAGGGCAAGGGGTGAGAGGCAACACGGAGGCAACGCGGAGGAGACAGATCGATGCCAGTGGCAGACGTGGACTTTGACAAACGTGGGCACGGAACGACCTGGCGTTGGCACCACTTTAAAGGTAGAATAAAGGTATACCACAAGTAGACGGGGGGGTGTAGAGTGAGCGAGTGTGCAAGGAAAGAGGCACAGAGAAATGAGGCACAGAGAAACAGAGAAACAATTTAATATCGAGGCCGTCCGAGTCCCGCTTTGTAGATTAAGCGGCCATGGCTCTGGATACAAGAGACAAGGATGGCCACAGGTGAGGGAGGCAAAGGGCGATCCAGGCCAGTTGGGTCAATCCATGGTCAGTCGGCTCCCGCTGGGGAACATGCAATATAAAAGCCGGACCTCCTTCGTCCTGGCCAGACTTGATCTTGTGATGGTGTCTCGTCTGGCTTTAAGGGGGCTGATTTGCTCGCTCACGCTTTACTGTGTTGAGGAAGACAAAATGTCTTGTTTCTTCTTGTTGTTCAACGTACCTTGACAAGCTCACGAAGAGTGAGAGTTTTGGACCAGATGGCCGATGACAGATGACAGATGACAGACGAAGATGCAGAAAAGACGGCGGGAGACGAGTTGTCGATAAAATGTGGCGACTAAAAGTCGACGATCGAAGAACAGGCGAATTGCTCAGAGGTGACACACACACACGCACATTCAAAAGGTTCAAAAGAAGAATATTCAAATGTTAGACGGCTTTGTAGCTCTGCTTGTTGACTGTCTCCGGTTTTCTTCTAGGAAAGGGCAATATTCAACAAAAAAGGGTGCAGAAAAGGGTGCTGCGGGAAGGGAGGCGGGCTGGGGGACAGAAAATTGAATTAGAAGAGAGGAGAGAGAACAAAAGGTGTCAAGAAAAGAGAAGAGGGCACTGGATGGGAGAAAAAAAAACAGAGACAGTCATGCAAAACGCCAGACAAGGCCAGATGGCATCCAGGCGGCAGATCAAAAGAGGCAAGCAGGCAGAAAAGACCAAAAAGGGGACGAGGGGGTTCGAGGACGCGGCAGGAGGACGATCGTCGGAGGGTCGTGAGCCAATGGAGCGAGGAGTCGAGGAGAAGGGGCGACGTAAAGCGTCTCGATTTCTGTGGCTGCGGCACAGCGGTGTCTCGAAACAGAACGGAATGGAAGAGGGGTGAACGCAGAACGCGGGACACGGACGCGGGACGTGTGGCGAAGGCAGGCCGCCTAGGAAACGGAAAACGGGTGGAAGACGCAACCTAGATTCTAGAAGCACAAGAGAACGGTTCAAGGTGGAGCAGCAGTCAACGGGCAAGCGGCGCAGATAGTTATGCGTGTAATGAATCGGCGTGACGATTTGTGTCGATGTGAGCATTGGAGCAGACTCACACGACACGACACAACACGCTCAACACAGGACGGCAGCAGACTTCCAAGCAGCAATAAATAATCAACAGAAAAAGAAAGAAAAGAAAAAGAAAAGAAAAAAGAAAAGAAAAAAGAAAAATAGTCAACAAACCGTTGTCGCTTCTTCACCACTTTACCACCTCGTCAACGTCAAGCATCAACAACACGACGCCAACAGAGCCGTTGGATTCACACCGTATCAACTCGGATCGGATCGGATCGGCTCACTACTCCACGGTGTAAGTCAAGTGGCCAGGACATGGTGCTTTGGGGATTGTGCACGCCGTTTGTTTAATCGATCTGCACTTGCACGAGTCCAGGTCCCGGGTTCAAGTGCCTGCACAGTACATTGTACGTGCTCTTTCAGACAAGGCAAGACAATTCCAGACAATTCCAAACATGGCAAGACATGACAGACATGACAGACATAACAGGACAATGGCCAAAGATGGACAAGACCAGGAACAGCTAGTCCACGTGGAATGACATGGAGACAGGATACCCCATAGGGTGGAGCCACTCCATAGTTCGGGTACAGATAGTCTCCGAGCAGAGGCAGGAGGATGTCGTACAAGGAAGGCAGACAAGCAGACAGAATGGAGAGCAGACAAGTAGAACAAACCAAACGCAGCCAGTCGGCGCAGCTGCCGGGATGCAACCGGGCCAGCAGGTCAGCAGGCCAGCAGTCAGAAAGATGAGTATGTTTCAAACCCACAAGATACAAAGAGGGACAAGGCAAGCCACCGTCCACACAATGTGGAACAACAGGGCGTGAGGGAATGAGGAGAAGGGGACACAATGGGCCAGTCCTCTGCATCGACACCGTCACTGTGGAACGCCGAGCGGTTGAGAGACACAGACAAGATCCAGCGTGCATATTACCAGAAACCGCACCAACAAAAGACAAAAAAGACGTAAACTTACACACAGGGCGTCCCGTCCGTCGCGTGCAGTGAAGCTCCTTGGCTGGAGACGACAAGACGGTCTCGAGGCGCGTGCTGTCAAACCCGTCAGTATTGTGCATGCATTGTAGTCCTGCGGCCCTGTGGCCCTGTGGCCCTATGGCCCTGTAGCCTTGCAGCCCTGTAGAGCCCGATATTAAAGAACAGGCCGCACAGAACGCAGCACAACGCCACGCAAGTAACACAGTCGTACACTCTGCGTACGGTACATACAATGATCACCGGTAGGACGCGGGATGGCGTACCAAGGTGCGTTCGTAGTCAGCAAAAAAGGGGAGCCGTTAGGGGAGACGTTAGGAGGGAAGCCAAACGTGGAGAGGAGAGGAGTTGAAAAGTGCCGTCTCGCTCCCGAGACGGGCAGCTGCGCGGAACAGAAGGGAGGGATGGGGTGAAGCGGCGCGGGGCAAGAAAAGGGTAAAGAGTAGCAACGCTGGAGACCAGGGGCGTGGGTTAAGTAACGAGAAAGAGCAGAAATCAAGACAGAGAGAAGGATGTGAGAGTAGAAGAAACGGTTGTAAACGGTTGAAGGGCGGTCCAGAGGTGCAAACGAGACACGCAGGAAAAGCGTGTCGAAAAAGGCTGGTTGTCGAGTTTGAGAGTGCACGAAGAGAGGGGGTGCGGTTGGAAAGGAGACGGGTGAGGATGCAGGAAGATACGACGTGCTGTTTGCTCGGTTTTCGTCTCTTTTTCCGTCTCACTCTCATTCTCACTCTCTCTTCTCTGTTTTTCTCTTTCTTTTTTGCTTCCTTTATTATCTATTTTTTTTTGCAGCTCGCTTGTCTCCCCTTCTCGTACCCGTCGTTTCCCTTCTGTGCTCTTTCCTCTCCCCTTTCTTCTCCTCTTTCGACGCACCTTTGTGAGCCACCCGCTGGTCGTTGGGGGCCAGCTTTGAGGGGTGACGAGGAGCTTGAGTGCTCCTGTAAGCAAAAGGGTGCTCAGCGTCGCGTTTCGACTGCAAGTGAGGTGAGCGTTGCCAGAGACAGACCGTGTGTATTGCACAGTGTGGAATTAAAGCACTGTTTGAGCAGGGGTGAGCTTTGAAGCTGTCGAACGTCGACAGGGGCAAATGGGGACTCGGTAGCTGGACAGGTCGGGTGGTTAAATCGTTCGGTCCCGAAAGAGAGTTTCAGATGGCCGGCTGGAATTTAAGTGGGGCATAGTTCACAACTCTCAACTACAACGTTCAGCGTACTTGTATCTATGCGGAAAGGGCGACCGTCGATAAGGCTAGAATGGAAAGAGCGACAAACGAAGGGATGGCAGGTGCGAGGGGCCAGGAGCAACGGGGCAAGAACGGGTCAAGAACGAAGAACGAAGCAAGAACGAGGCAAGAACGCAGTGCAGCGCACGCAAACAAAGGAAAGAGCGACACACTCAAATTGGGCCACCATAGAAGAAGACTGCTATTGAGTTGGACAGTCAGTCAACACAACGCAATCTCAACCTCAGCAGTCCAACTCTGCGTGTCCGCGGTTTGTCTTTGCAACCAGTGACAGCTGTTACTGTCACCCAGGTCGTTCAGTGCTGTTCAGTACACAGTATGAGACTCTGTGGCCCTCTGCTTTGCATGGCAGTTTCGGGTGCGCTAAGCCCAATTAGGAATAGACTCCCCGGCTATGAAGGCTATTTACGGGTCCGATGGGGAAGTTGGGACGTTGAGCATTGCCGCATAAGTACGGAGTCCTTTTACAACGGCATGCTGAGTCCCAGTGGGAAGGTTGGTGTTCCTATTTGGCCTTTTTCTTTGGGGGTTCTTTTTCTGTACTTCGTTTCCCGTTTTGGGACCCTCACGTCATCGTCAGTGCATAAAACGGACACGAAATGGAGATGTGTCGATAGAGAGAGCTGCTCGCCGGGAGGTATCTCAGCCGGTTGAAAGATCTGGGGCCACGGGACGATGAGATGTGAGAGGTGAGGCTGTTGACTTGTTGTACGGACCGTGTACCTTATCCTGAACTGGAAGCTTGTTTTCTAGTATTCAATGCGAGGGCTCTCTTTGTGTCGTTCTTGTTTTTTTATATCGTTCTTTTTTTTCTCATCTCCTGTGTGTTGTGTGCATGCTTTATGTATTTTATGCCCAGCACATCCCCGACGCTGTGCTCGTCCGTCACCATAATATACGACGGACATGTCTTCCTGTCCTATTGCCCTATCAATGTGCATGGAGTATTGTCGATGCACAAAATATTTCGGCATGGAATAATCAAAGAGAGAGGAACAGAGAGAAACAGAAAAGTACAGAGAGGAACATCAACGAAACCGGGATCCATTCCTGTCCGTCGTGACCGATCCTCTGCATGTCAACCTGTTCACCTGCATGTCGTCTGCATGCAAACCTACATGTAACTTCAAAGTTTGCTGCAGCCCTTTAATTCTTTTTCTTTTTCTTTTCTTTTATTCTTCTTGCCTTTCCAATTCTTGCCCTCAGACTGCTGCACATTCTTTATTTCTTGGAATGTCCATCTACTCTTACGCTTCCCCATCCTCCTGCTTTTATCCTTGGCCTTGCCGGCTTCCGCTCTCCATTCTCCCTTTTCTTTCCCGTTTTGCTACCTTCACTCTCCATTCTCTCACCTCGTGCCGTCCTTCTCGCTTGCCGTTTCCTTTTCTTCTCACGTCTCTTCCTGTTCCTGTGCTCTTATTTTGGCCTTTTCTTCTTCCCTTTCCCATGTCAATGCCTCACTGCCTGCCATGATCGTCAACACACCCTCCTCTTCCATTTTGCCCTTTTGCATTTACCTGTTCGCGCGGCCGTTCTGTCGCTCTCGCACTTTGCAAAGTGCCCGAGGACGATGATCGAATTTAGATTGATAGATTGATAGATTGAGTCCACAAGGACGAGGCGCAATCACGGTGATGTGTCGTTCTATTTGGGTTGTCTCTTTTTTTCTCTGACCGACAAACCACACAGCCGTAGAAGAAGAACTTTTTGATTTATAAAGTGCGTCGTCCGGGTCGTCTCCTTGGTCTATTTCTGTCTCTTTTTCTTCAATCTCGTTTCTTTCGTTTCTCTCGTCTCTCTCTCCTGGTCTCCTCTGGTCTCCCCTGGGTTTTGTTTTCTTATGTCCTCGTTGGCTATCACCTCACCGTTCTTACATCCAGACTTAACTTTCCTACAAAGACCATTGTCAACTTCATACAAAGACCCATATCAACTACATCTACACCCGTATCCACCTCACGCACCCACGCCGTCTACTCCGTGCAACTCCACTCCTCTACGCCCGCCGTCCTCATTCGCCTCGTATCCTTTCGGTCGTGCCCACACGCCTCCTTCCTTCGCCTACCTATATAGTACCACCGCGCAATATAACCATATAGTCCGGCATCCCAAACAGACCAAGCGACATAAACGACACACAGTACTCTTTCGGTGCACTTTGCCCGTCGGGCCTTTCTCTCTCGCTGTCGTCCGTCTGCCAATCCGTCGTCTTCCTGTATACAGGCTTGCATCCTTTTCGGCTACTCGCTGTCTTGTTCGTCTCCCATCTCCGTAGCGGACGCTCGGCTGTCCACCCTGACGGACGCTCTACACGAATCGATTTTTCTAATTTGACCTCTGGTTCTTCTCATCAACTACGGCATCCTTACTCCTCTACCCATCACGTCCCATAGACACTCGACAAGACACACTTCCGGCCCATCTCAGACAGAAGTTGTTTTGTGTACAGTGGTTCGTGTTGTCTGTTGTCGTCTGTGTCTGTCGCCGGCCTGCATCTCATCAATCTCGTACTTTTCGTCGATCTTATCCATGTCGTCTTAAGTGGTGTTTCTTGTCCGTGTTTGTTTCCTTTCCTTCCTTCCTCACGCCTTTGCTTGCAGTCCCGGCTTCAAGATGAGCGGAAACAACCAGTTTCACCCGCCGCCACAAGCCCGGTCCTCGCAACAGTCGCAGCAGTCACAGCAGTCACAGCAGTCCAGTTCGTCACAGTCCATCAGCAGCGGCCAGACGACAGAGATTGAGATTGAACGGTCCGACGTGGAGCTCAGCGATGCCACGGACGTCGAGAAGCTGGCGTCTGTGCCGGAGACGAAGGGGCCGTTTGGCGCACCGGGTAGCCTTGGCCCTGGACCGGGATTGGGACCAACAGGTGGCGGACCTACAGGGCCTCCCAGGCCACCAGGACCTCCAGGACTGCCCGGCGCCAACAACCTCTTCCAGCCCAAGAGCGTCAAGTTCTGGATGATCCTACTGTCCAACTTCCTCGCGCTCTTCCTCGTGGCGCTCGACCGCACGATTGTCGCCACCGCCGTGCCGCGCATCACCGACGACTTCCACAGCCTCGGCGACATTGGCTGGTATGCGTCGGCGTACATGCTGACGACGGCGGCGTCGCAGCTCCTGTTTGGCCGCATCTACAAGTTCTACTCCATGAAGTGGACCTTTCTGCTGTGCGTCGTCGTCTTTGAGATTGGCTCGGCCATCTGCGGCGCCGCGCCCACGTCGGCCATCTTCATTGTGGGCCGCGCCGTCGCCGGCACCGCGTCGGCCGGTATCTTCTCGGGGTGCATGCTCATCATGGTGCCGATGATCCCGCTGCACAAGCGGCCCATGTTCCAGGGCCTCTTTGGCGTCGTGTTCGGCATGGCCTCGGTCATTGGCCCGCTGATTGGCGGCGCCTTTACGAGCAGCCGCCTGACGTGGCGCTGGTGCTTCTACATCAACCTGCCCGTCGGCGCCTTTACGCTGCTGTTTATGGTCTTTTTCTGGAACCCGCCGCCGCGGCCGACACCGCCGGCGCGTCCTGGTGCTGGCCCGGGCGGCCACGGCCCGCAGGCCCCCAAGGCGACGGTGCTCACCCACATCAAGCGCCTCGACCCCATCGGCACGGCGCTCTTCCTGCCCGGCATCGTCAGCCTGCTGCTGGCCCTCGAGTGGGGCGGCTCCAAGTACCCCTGGAACAGCTGGCGCATCATTCCCCTGTTCATCCTGTTCGGCGCCTGCATGGTCGCCTTTGCCGTCGTGCAGGTCATGCTGCCGGACACGGCCACGCTGCCGCCGCGCGTCGTGCTGCAGCGCAGCGTCCTGTCCGGTGCGCTCTTCACCTTTTTCCTGTCGGCCTCCATGCTCATGCTCGTCTACTACGTGCCCGTGTGGTTCCAGACGGCCAAGATGGTCAACCCGCTGCGGTCCGGCGTCTACACCATCCCCCTCGTCCTGAGCCTCGTCGTGTCCAGCATCGGCTCCGGCATCGTCACGCAGAAAATCGGCTACTACGTGCCCTCCATGCTCCTCGCGCCCGTCATCATGTCCGTCGGCGAGGGGCTCATGAGCACCTTCACGCCCGCCACCGGCTCGTCGCACTGGATCGCCTTCCAGTTCGTGGCCGGCTTCGGCCTCGGCTTCGGCATGCAGATTGGCAACCTGGCCGCCCAGACGGTCCTGCGGCCCGAGGACATCTCCACGGGCGTCGCCATCATGTTCTTTGTCCAGCAGCTCGGCGGCGCTGTCTTCACCACCGTCGGCCAGACCATCCTCAGCAACCTGCTCGTCGGCCAGCTCAAGGACGTGCCCGGCCTCGACACCGCCGCCATCGTCAACGTCGGCGCCACCGAGCTCGCCAGCGTCGTCCCGCCCCAGTTCCTGCCCCTCGTCATCGACGCCTACAACTTTGCCTGCACGCGCATCTTCTTGACGAGCATGGGCCTCGCCTTTGCGTCGCTCGTCTGTGCGTTTTTCATGGAGTGGCGGAGCATCAAGAAGCCACCCGGCGGACCGGGTGGACCGGGTGGACCACCAGCTGGAGGGCCGGGCCCGGGACCGGGCCCTGGTGCCCTCCGTGCGCCTGGCGCTCCTGGCGGCCCCAGTGGTCCCGGCATTCCCGCCGGCCTCGGCCGCCCACAAATGGTCATGACCACGGTACCCACCGTGGACCCAAAGACGGCCTCTGTGGTCTCCATCCGCAACTCCTTTGGTGGCACCCGCACCTCGTTTGGCAGTGGTAGTGGAGGAGGAGGAGGAGGAGGAGGGAGGGGGTGGTGGAAGGGGACGAGCCCTCTCTGTGTCGGCCACAACGGCCGTCAACAGTGACGAGCCGGTGGTGGCCAAGAAGGAGTCGTCCGAAGAGCCAGAGACCGAGGCATCACAGACCCAGGCCCAGGCCCAGCCCGCGCCGCTCGATCCCAAGATCGTCAAGGCGCGCCAAGAGGCCGAGGCCAAGCTGCGCCAGGCTCGCCGCGAGTCGGATCCCAGCTATGTCAAGCCACGCCGGAATTCCGTACGTCTGTCCAAGGTAAACAGAACGAGTCTGACCTACGAGTAGGGGTCGAGAGCTGTTTTGGTTTCCTGTTTCTTTTTACTATTTGTTCATATGGTACTGCTATCCAATTCATGTTATGGCGTCTATTTTTAATCTATTTTTGGCGGAGGGGTTTTGTTGTACAAAGACAGGCAACCCAAAGATACTGAAATACTGAACATGAATTATACGGCCGACAACAGGGACTTTCCATATCAAGGTAGACTTCGAACGGTGATAACTGCAGTCGACCTTTACGTCGATCGTACGTCAGCATCCGAAGCATTGGATTGGATAGAAAATGGACGAGTCCCAGAGCCCGGAGAAGCGGCCTTTCGTTGGTCCCGACATGTCCGGTGCCAAGAAAGATGGCCTCAGCATGCGGTACAGTGCGCTCTACGGAGACGACGGAGCGCACAGAGGAACACAAAGCCCACCCCGTACTCTATTTCATGTTGCCACACCGTCGAGGGGCGTGCGCCGTGGCCCGCGTGTTTAAATAGCCACGGATTCTGCCACGGTATTGCAGGGGATAAAGTCGATAATGGAGGGTCGCCTACCTTGTAAATTGGGTGAAGGATGAGCAGATAAATGAAAATGAGGTAACTTAAAAAGAAAAAAAGAAAAGAATAAAAAGACGGCCCGCAATCATGGCATAACACGATAAACAGGGGAGAGGCTGTGATGGAGATCACGGACATTGGCTTGCACATCATGGCGGAACTGTGCGTCTGTACATCGATATGCTTTATGGGTAATGATGATGGATATTCAAAAAAGGATCGACTCGAAAACAAAGTCATGTAGGTTTGTCATGGCAAGAGGGAAGCAAATAGAACAAAAGCAGCCGCTGAAGAAAGAAGAAAAAAGAATCGAAAAACAGAATCATTAGGGACAACCACACCCACCGCTCCCGCCTAGACAAGCTTCCATGAACAAATGGCCTGCATGGACATGCTGCAGCGCCCCATGCGCGCACGGTAGTCGGCCATGGTGGCGCCCCGCAGGTCGCGCCCGTCCATGGTCGTGATCGCGTAGCAGAACAGCATGTCGCCCGGCCGGCCCAGCCGCCGCCGCGGCACGTCGGCCCAGAACCACAGCGGCTCGTCAAATTCCACATCAAACATCTCGCTGTCGTCGCCGCCGCCCCGCCGCTGTCCGTCGGGCGACACCGACTTCAGCATCATCGGGTACGGCCGCAGCCCTTGGCCGCCCTCGGCCATGGTCCAGTGGCGGCACGCGCGGCCGAGCCGGAACGCAATGCGCTCGTTGGGGTCGCCGCGGCTGACCGCAATCTCCTGGCTGGCGGGCGCCATGGACTCCTGGGCAATGAACTGCTGGGGCCCGTTGGAGTACAGGATCACGGGGTCGGCCGCCAGCTTGTCCACGACGTACTCGGCCCACGTGGGCACGCGCCCGTCGGCGCGGAAAAAGTGCCGCGGGTTGTCGGGGAAGTGGCGCTCGCCAAAGGTCTCGTTGTCCATGGTGAACATGACGGGGTTGAACTTTTTCTCGTAGCGCTCGGCGCGCTTGTCGCTGACGTTGCCGGCGCCCCAGCAGGCGTCGAGCAGCTTCCAGTCGCCGCCATCGATGCGGACGGCGTTCCACGCGTGGCCCGTCGGGTCGGCGGGCGGCACTGGGTCGCCCGGCCGCACGGTTTGGAACCCAAAGCCTTTGCCGTGGCCCGTGACCACCACACACTCGAGACCGGCCGCCAGCGCCAGCGCCTCGTACACGCGCGCATAGCCCTCGCAGACCGCCTTGCCCGAGAAAATGCGCTCTTCGATGGACTGGCCGCGGGGGATGCACCCGCCAAAGAAGCCGTCCACGTCGTAGGCGATGTTGTGGTGGCACCACGTAAAGATGGCGCGGGCCTTGTCGGTCTCGGACGGAAAGTCGTCGCACAGGTTGTGGGCCAGGTAGCCGACAGGGTCGCGGCGCGGCAGGCGGGCAATGGGGAACTGCGCGGCGACCGTGTCCGGGCCGGAAAAGTCGCGGCACTTCATGCACTCCTCGTCTTCGCTCTTCTTGGGGTAGAATCCGGGCAACCCGCCGCCGCCGCCGCCGCCGTTGGCGCGAGGACGCGGTCGGGTCGGCAGACTGGGGCGATCCTCCGAGTTGTCGTCGTTGTAGTTTTTGTTGTTGCTTTTGTTGTTGTTGCCGCCGCCGCGGACCGCGGCGTCGACGAGAGCACGCGACGGCCGCGGGGCCAGTGGTGGAGGTGCGTCGTCGTCTTCTTCAGGAATGTCGTCCCGCCTACGGTCATTGTAGCTGCTGCTGTTGTTGTTGCCGTACGGAACTTGCTGGGGTCCCGGTCGTCGGGGCTGCGACTTGCCCGAGCTGAAACCCAAGTCCAAAGCCGACTTGACCGTGTTGCGTCGGGAAGGAAGGGCCGGTGCCGGGCCCTCGTCGTCGTTGTCGTTGTCCAAGTGGCTTGTGGGCCGCCGTGGAGGCAGGCGTGGCGGCAGGGCCGGTCCTTCGTCGTCGTCGTCCTCCAACCGCGGACGGCGGCCACCACCGGGACGGGATGGGAGTGCCGGTGCGCGTTCGTCGTCGCGTCTGTCGCGGCCATTCCAGTTGTGTCCGCTGTCACGCTGCCGGTCGTTCCAGCCGCGGTCCTGGTCCCTCTGTCGGTCCCAGTCGCGGGGGCGTTCGTCTCGTTCCCGGTCAGCGCGCTCGCGTTCTTCTCGCTGCCGCTCCCGCTCTTGCTCCCGTTCTTCCTGCTGCCGCTCCTGCGCCTCCCTCTGCCGCTCCGCCTCTTCCCGCTCCTTGGCCTCGCGCTCGCGCCTCGACGGCGGCAGGTCCGGCAGCTTGGTCGTGCCAAACGCTGGCGGCAGCTTCCGCCCACCCACGTTTGCATTGCCGCTGCTGACCACCGAGTTGCTCGTCACCGACGACACGCGGCTCAATGTCGTGTTGGTCGACAGGTGCGACCGCACGGACTCGGACGACGGGCGGCGGTCGACAAGCGACGCAGAGGTGGCGGCGCGCTGCAGCGCACCCACGGTGACGGTGGCGGTGGCCGTCGCCGACCGTGGAGGCAGCTTGGGGGGTGGGCCGCGGAGACCCGCAGCCACAGCGGGCGGCGGCGAGGTGTAACTGGGGCTGGAGACGTCTGTCTTGGGGACGATGGGTTTTGTCCCAACCGGTTTCGCGGGCTTGGCTGGGATCGCAGGCTTTGTGGGCGGTGGGGGCGGCGGACGACGGGCGCCGTTTGTGGTCGTCGTGTTGGCGGTCGACGCGGTCGAAGCAGCGGATGACGACCGGACGATCGGCGGCGGAGTGGATGCGGCGGGCGGTCCGGAGCTGAAGTTCTTTTGCTTGTTGAGTGCGGCGATGCGCTCGGCCAGCGTGGAGAACTGGGGTTCCTCTACTTCCGTCATGGTGGCGGTAGGGGCGGTGGTCGAGGCGAGTGGTGATAACTGCTTTAATAAAGATGCGGTCGAGGAGGTGAAGGGTTGAAGGGCGAAGCGATGACGAGGTGACGAGGTACAGGTGATGGAGATGTCGGCGTCGACGACAGCCGTTGTCGAGTGAGGCAGTAACGAAGGAACGCTGCCGTGATGCACGATCGGCAGCACAATACACCCTACAACGAGTAAATGAAACAATAATGGATGGACAAAACAAGAAACAAAGAAACAAATGTGCAGGAGGAGGAGAGGAGGAGAGAAGAGAAGGGAGACACGACGAACCAGGCAAAACGGCCGTTGGGTGGTGGGGTGCGGATGCGGCGCAGCAGGCAAGAGCAGGGGCGCCAAGGGCTGGCTTCGTTGGATTGGGGAGCCGCAACGCCACAGGTCAAGTACGGAAGGCGCTTAGGGCGCTGTAAGGCGCTGGCGCTGGGGCGCTGGGGCAGGTGCCAACGGCCCAAATTGGTGTTTAACTCCTGTAATTACGATGATCCTTAGGTAAGGGCCAGGCCCAACAATACGAGAATCAGTGGCTGGGCGACGTGTACTCTTTTCTTCGGATTTACTGAGACATTCCTTTTTCTATCTTTCTGTGCAAGTATTTTTCAAGTATGAATTGGTACAAGTCCTGTTTACTGTGTGTTCTTCGGGTTTGTGGCCGTATGGTCGCTCTTTCCTTGTGGTCGCTCTCCTTGTGGCCGCACAGCTTTCCAACTTGGGAAAGACAAAAACGTCCCGCAAGGCAAGCACGATCTGCGGGCGTGGAGGCGTGTAGACGACAAGGCAAGAGCAACACGGCCGGCCCGCTAGCGCCGTAACTTCAGTGGGGCGCAACACGTGCTCAAGCCGAGATATCAAAAGATGTTCTGCATTGCATCCATCACCGTAGTCTCGGTAATCTTCCGATTGTCCTTTCGCGAATCGACTAGTTCATCCTGTGGATTAACTTTGGATGGCTACTTTGTAGCTGCTAGCATTATTTACGGCGGATATTCCGATTATTGAACGTCGCCGGTCCGCCGATTCAACTTGTCGACGTTTGTCTTATATCTCGTCCTCGCGTCCTTTCGCAGTCGGTGCAGGAGCAGCAGGCGTGCCCTCCGTGCCCTCCTCCGCCATTTGGCCCGTCCGCGCGACATTGGTCACCTGGACTAGCTCCAAGTCTCCTGCCAGCTTGCTCGGCGCGAGGCCCTGCTCGATGGCGGCGACGTCGTGGGTCAGACCGGTCGTCTCAAAGGCGGCAAAGCGCCAGGCGGCGATGCGGGACTCGAACAGCTGGTCAATCTCCTCGAGCGTGCGGCCCGTGAGCTCGGGCATGACGAACCAGACATAGACGGCGCCGGCAAACGCAAAGGCCATCCACAGATAGGCGAGCTTGGCGCCGAGGTCCGCGAGCAGGTAGGGCGTTGTGTAGACGACGGCAAAGGAGACGACGACGTTGACGGCCGTTGCGACGGCCATGGTCTTTTCGCGCAGGGCGCCCGTGCCGACCTCGGCGGCGGTGATGTAGGCGGCCGGGCCCAGGGACATGTGCAGGATGGCGGCGTACAGGATGAACGACGCGACCATGCCGCCGGTCTCGCCGGGCGACGGGCGGGCCTTGCTGCCGAGGGCGCCAATGAGGGCCAAGAAGACGCCCTGGGTCCAGCAGCCGTGCAGGGTGACGCTGCGGCGGCCAAACAGGTCCAACACGACCATGCCGAGCAGGGCGGTGACGACGGAGACGCCGTTGTTGATGGCGGCGTAGGCAAAGGCCATGCGGCCGAGACCCTCGGACTTGTAAAAGGTCGGGCCGTAGCTGCTCGAGAAGGTGACACCCGTCAGCTGCTGCAGGGACATGAGGCCGACGGCAATGTTGGTGCGGCGCCGGTTGGTGCCCCGGACGAGGTCCGACCAGGGGCCTTTTGTGCGCCGCCGGTCCTGGCAGCGGCGCGCGGCATCCTCGCGCATGGCCGCCAGCTCGAGCGCGCAGACACCGGCATCGACATCGGCCGGGCGCCGCACCGCCTGCAGGACGGCCAGCGCCTCGTCCTCGCGGTCCTGGAACACGAGCCAGCGCGGCGACAGCGGCGTCCAGGGCAGCGCCAGCAGGATCAGGACGGGCGGCACGACCTGGATGGCTGTCGCAATCTGCCAGCCCGTGTTGTCCGTGCGGCCGGCCATGGCGTTGTTGACCAGGCCCGCCGTCAGCGAGCCAAACGTCAGGCACAGCTGGATGGACCCGACAAAGAAGCCGCGCAGGGCGCCGGGGGCGATTTCGGACTGGTACGTGGGCACGACGTTCTCGACGAAGCCGACGGCCAGGTACACCAGCAGGCGGCCGACGACGAACTGGGCCGTCTTCGTGCTCGTGACCTGGACGACGGCCCCGGCAATCTGGATCAGACAGGTGCCGAGCATGGTGACGCGGTGGCCGTAGCGCTCGACGCTGGGGCCGACGGCCAGGGAGCCGACGAGCTTGCCGAGCAGCGGCAGGCTGTTGAGCAGGGCGCTGTTCTGCGTGGTGAGGGCGTAGGCGTTTTTTTTGGCGCTGTACGTGCCGAACTGGCGCAGAAAGGGGCTGAAGGCCTGGACACCGCTAAAGGACGCCGAATCGTAACCGAAGAAGACGCTACCAAAGGCGTAAACAATGCAGATGAAGAGCAAGCGCGGCGTGGCTGTCTTGAAGGCGGCCTTGCCAACAAAGACGTTTCCACGGCCGGCCATGGTGGATGGTGCGTCTACGGGGGGAGAGTAGGTTGATGTACGATTGTGAGAAAAGAAGAGGGAAAGAAGGCAGAAGACGCCACTGATCACTATGTTGTATTTCTTATTTCTACCCCAAAAAAAAAAGAAAAAGAAAAAGAAAACGAAACGAAAAGACATGAAAAGAGAAAAATAGAAAAGAAGTTCCACCTCACACTCTTTTCTTCTTTCTTCCCCGGACCGACCCCTACTCGACTCCAATACCCCATGGCCACTTCCGTTCATCGGAGACTGTCAGGGTTGCAACGAGAGAGAGACACCGACCAAGAGCCAAATGACTCTTCCTTCTTCGCAGTGGGCAAGGATGGTGCAGGCTATCTCGGACATCCTCCGAAGCACCTCAACTGAGAGCCGAAAAGTCTCATTCTGCACCATGAATCATTCGACCGACTCACAAGGCATTGGCAGTGGGCATTGCGGAGTGGTGCGTCCGAATCTGTGGAGACAAGATGAAGGAGGAGAGTAGATGAAAAAAAGAAAAAGAAAAAGGACAGGGAACAGCACATTCACACAGACGACAACATACGGAGTACAGAGTGGAAGATGCCCTTTAGCTTCAGTTAGTGTTGTTGACCGTCCCGAAAACCCCTGTCAGTCATCCCTGTGCCATCGGCCTGCCTGCCCCGACCGACGCTCCGTCTATCCTGCTCCATCCCGGCATTATCTTGCGGGGTCTAAATCCGGCCAGTCAACGAGTCACTAGCCCTATGTCTAAACCGTCGATCGTTTACCACATACGGGACTGCACCGAGGATCGTGTCAGGGCAGATGCTACTCTCCACATCCCCACAACGTTCAAGTCCTCAGAGATAAATCGTGGATGACTCCAATACCAGCTCCGCCCATCGTTGGATCCTGGAAAGCAACGACAAAAGAAGTTCTCCTTTTGGCAACCTTTGAGTTCGGCAGAGTCCTGCCGGCTAGACCGTCCAGCAATGCTTCTCGTTTTCCGTTTTCTTTTTAACTAGATTTCCCAAAGCAGTGTAAACACCACCGGTACCGGCTCAAGCGTTGCAAGGCGCCATTCGATAAGGCTCAACCACGGTTTCGGCGCCGGCAGAGCCAATGACGATACAACTTTCCCACTTTACCGGTTAGATATCCTTGCGCTTGTCTGTTCCAACAACACCAGAGCAAACATGACCACCTTCGACCTTGTCGTCTACGGCTCAACGTCCGCCGCCGTCGCCGCCGCCATCCAGGCCGCCCGCCTCGGCCGCTCTGTCGTCCTTGTTTCACCGCATGCGCACATTGGCGGCATCCAGGTCGAGGGTCTGGGCGGCTCCGACATTGACAACCAGGCCGAGTTCCAGAACAGCACGACGCTGGGCGGTCTGAACTTGGAGCTGCACGAGCGTATTTCCAGCGTCTACGGCGGTGAACGGCCCGACCGCCTGAAACGAGCGGTTGCCGAGAAGCTGCGGGACCCGGACGTATGGCGCTTCGAGTCGCACGTGGCCGAGGCCGTGATCCAGGCCTGGCTGGCCGAGTACCCGGACCACATCACCATTATCCACTCAGCGCTCGCAGAAGGGGCAGGGTCCGTCCAGAAGAGTGAGGCCGGTGTCGTCGAGAGCATCCGCCTCGTCCGCGGCGACTCCGTCCGCGGCCGCGTCTTTCTCGAAGCGTCGTATGAGGGCGACCTGCTGGCCGCTGCCGGCATCTCCACGACCCACGGCCGCGAGGCCCAGACCGTCTATGGCGAGTCCCTGGCCGGTGTCCGCGGCACCACGTCCTACCGCCAGCTCGACGTCCGCGTCGACCCCTACATCGAGCCCGGCAACCCCGCGAGCGGCTTGCTGTACGGCGTCTCCCCCGAACCCTTTGGCACGCCCGGCGACGGCGACGACCACCTCCAGTCCTACTCCTTCCGCGTCCCGCTGACCGACGACCCTGCCAACCGCGTAGAGGCCCTGGGCGGATCCGCACCGCCCCCGGGCTACGTGGCCAGCCGCTACGAGCTGCACCGCCGCTTCCTGCGTGCCGGCGGCTCCATGTACTCGCCGTCGCTCAAAGTCCCCCGCCGCAAGACCGACCTCATCGGGTCCGAAGCACCCCTCGCCACCGATTTGCTCGGCCTCAACGACGAGTGGCCCGTGGCAACGTACGCGCGGCGCGCCGAGATTCTGGAGGAAGCCACCGCCTTCACGCAAGGGCTGCTCTGGTTCTTTGCCAACGACGCGGCCGTCCCCGCGTCCCATCGCACCCAGTGGGCCCGCTTTGGCTACTGCCGCGACGAGTTCCCCGACCATGCCCATTTCCCCCGCCAGCTCTACGTCCGCGACGCCCGCCGCATGGTGTCCGACTACGTGATTACGGAGGCCACCGCGACCGAGGGCAGCGCCGCCGCCGCCCCCGACGCCTTCGAACCCGACGTGCCGGACCCCGTCGCCCTCGCCTTCTGGCCCACCGACACGCACAGCGTGCGCCGCATCGTGCGCGACGGCCAGCCCCACAACGAGGGTTTTGTGTTCAAGGACGGCCACCACCGCTGGCGGCCCTTTGGCATCGCCTACCGCGCGCTGGTGCCGCGCCGCGCCGAGGCCCGAAACGTCCTGTCAGCCACCTGCCCGAGCGCGTCGCACGTCGGCTACGGCGCCGTGCGGCTCGAGCACCAATTTTACGCCCTGGGCCAGGCGTGTGCGAATGCGGCCGACCTGGCGCTGTCCCGGCAGCTCCGTGTCCAGGACGTGCCCTACCCGGCGCTGCGGGCCCGTCTCGAGGCGCAGGGCGTAAAAGTGGACGTCACGACGGTGGGCAAGCCGACGTTTCCAGAGTAAGAACGGATAGGGAGAAGAGAAGGGGGAAGGGTGGCCGGGGGGTGAGCAAAGTCTAGACTAGACTGCAACGGGACTGCCCAAAAACCCGGACGCAGCTTGTCCGCCGCCGTCTTATTGGGAGACCATGCAAAGTCTAGGTCTGGTTGGGAGGTTGGGTGGTTGGTGTGCTTGGATCGCGTCCGATATCCAGGCCCGTGCCGTTCCATTGTGATGAAGCTTTTTTTGGTTTTGGTAGGGTGAAGGGGAAGGGGAAGTGTAGAAAATGTGACGAAAATTGCGAAATAGTATATGCAACAGTTTTGAGGATGGCGAATAAAAACGATCAGAATAGACAGAATAGACAGAACAGACGGGAATAGATAAAATAAACAGAATACATGGAATAGACAAATAGACAAATAGACAGAATAAACAACATATCCAAGCACCAGACAGCTATTAAACAGGGCCAGCTGCCAACGACATCTGACAAATTCACAAGTATTGTATCTACGGTGAGTCCGTTCGATACGTCGTATGTCGTACGGTGCCTGCTTCTGTCGTCTTCACGCCTGCCTCTAACAAACTGACAGCTACCCCTGCATGCAGAGACGCCCCACTAAAAAAGGCCCCATGCGGCCCCTAACGCTTAGAGCCCGCCTTTTCTCCGCACCTTCCTTTGAAGCAGCCCTCATTCCTCGTTAACGCAGTAGAGCGATCTCCATCCTGAAACGAGGTGCCAGGTCTTCTAGACGTTCCCAGAGGCCAGGGCAAGACTATGGAATCCAGAGAGTGTGGCCAAGGAATGGCCAGAGAGTGCCCAGAAAGTGGCCAGGGCGACACACGAGACGACATGCGAGCATGCAAAACCGCATGTGAGGAAGAGGACCCTTGTTTTAAGAATCATAACACTACCAGAGGCGGACGCGTGTCCGCTGAGACTGCTCGTTTTTGACGTTCTGTTCTGGTCTTGTTCTATTCCTGTTCTGTCAAGTTCTGTGACGGCCTATCTTCAACTTCGATATTGTCTTGCTTCCCGGTCACTCCTTCCTCACTTGCATCTCAGCATCCCTTGACCTCTTTCTGAGAAAGACCCCACTTCACAACCTCGCGCCTTCTCTATACATTGCTGCCCCCTCTTTCCAGTCGGTCGCTCCTGCGGTTTACAGATTGCGCCCCTTCCTGAGCCAATATTGTTTATTTGACAACAGCCCAAGTTTTTTTTTGTCTCAAATTTCTCTCTTCTCCCTCCCCCATATTCATCTTCTCGTCACAGACATCCATCACTGCCAAACAGCGTCACAACACTCCTATCCCCAACCCCAGGCTTGCGATAGCCTTGGGGTCCTGCCTTGCAAAGGCGTCAACAAGACGTGAAATCTTGCTCGTCTCGTATTGGACAGGCAGCAAGACACCATTTTCTTACAAGATACCATTGCTTCGCCTTGCGTCGAGGCCTCTCCGGTCTCTCACAGAGAGCAACGTCTGCTCATCATGGCCTTCATCGACACTTTGCCCGCGGCAGCGGCGACGTCTTCGTCCTGTCCGGCAAACAGCGGAACGGTCACGTTTTCGAGCCTCCCAGAGGAGGTCCAAAGAGAGATCTTGAAGCATGTTCGTCTCTCTCTTCCTCTTCTCGCACTCTCTTTTTTGCGTCGTGCTAACCTTCCATCACGTCCCGTATAGTGCTCGAGTCGAGAGCTCTGCAGCCTTGCCCTTGTCTCGGCTCACTTCCATTCGCTCGCTTCCGCGTTCCTTTACCACACGTTGAACCTTTCTCTGCCGACAGAGAGCGAGCCCATTGCACACCGCAGCAGAGCTTTCCGCAAAGGTCTGCCCGACCTGCTGAATACGCTTACGACCAGCGACTACGACTACTCTCGCCACATCCGCCATGTCGGTCTTGGCACAATCTGCGAGATGCTATTTATGCGGAGCCACAGCCCCTTCCGCGTCACCGAATTTCCCAGTAAAACGCTCAACACCCTCATGGTCCTTGCCATGCGCAAGGCCGTCGGCCTCGAGTCGCTCTCCTGGGATGTGAATGTCGAAATGAGCCCCGCCCTCTTCAAGGTCCTATGCAACATTGACACCCTCGTGGAGCTCAATGTGCGTCTTCATCACGGACCGTCTGCCTACCGTCGTCGAAGGGTCGTGCCGAACAATGCCAGTGGCCACCTTTACCCACCAGTCCACCAGCAAACAACGCCCGCCATGCCACTGAATGCTTTTCATGGCGATACGCCATCACAAGAAAGCTCGGCTGTGCTGTCAACGAACGTTCCCCCGCTCGGCAACCAAGGCCAAGGCGTGCCATGGACGACGCAAGCCGGTCTCGTTTTGCAGCAGATGGGTCACCCCAACAGCACAGAAAAGTCCAGCCAAACCACCACGTCGCCCGCCTCCGCTGCCCCCGACCGAGGCCAGCCTACTTTCTCGGGCTTCAAGAACCTCCAGCGCCTCAGTGTCCTGGACATTGAGGACCTCGGTGTTCTCCCAGAGCTCCAGGCTTGCGTCCACAACTGTGCCCGCTCGTTGACCCATTTGAGTCTCAGCCTTTCTAGCAACTTGACTCAGAAGAAACGCGAACGCGTACAACATACTGTAACCACCACTGCGCCGCATGCCGCTACCGCGGCCACCGCCACCACGGCCTCCGCCACCAACAATGGAAATAGTAACAACAGCAACGGAACTTGGGACCTCATGCCCCAGCAGGTTGACAATTACCTTGCATACACGACATCTGGCACGCCTCACAGCATTTGGGGAGGCATAGGCGGCACGAACAGCCCGCTAGCGAGTCCCGGCCCGGTTGTTGGTGGTGTGGATACTGGAAATGTTCCCAATATTATGGCTCTTGCGAGTCTTGCCAATATCACGCACTTTGGCGGTGCAGCCAGCACCGGCCCTACCTTGTCTGCGTCGGCATCAACGGCCTCCACAGCCTTGGCCGCGGCGCAGAAGACGAAGGCGTTTCTGATGACAAAGGCTCTGCGAGACCAGGACAAGGCCCTGGCGCACATCTTTGGTATCGAACCAGACTGGTCTCCAGAGAAGGAGTCGACGAAAACAGCGACAAAGAAAATGCAAAAGAAATCGGCAGACTCGAACGCGTCCGAAAGCACATCTGCTGCCGGGTCAGACGACAAAGGGAAAGGGAAGGCGGCGGAACACGACCGGGAGACGGAAGAGGGCAAAGAGCAAATCAAGAGCACCCCAATCGAACCCAGTGACATTGTGGATGCTTTGCAGGCTGCCGCTGTCGAGCTCGGCGGCCCCCATACTGACAGTGCCAGTGCCTCGTCCATGGCTGACCGAGAAGCGGCGGCGCTGGAGCGATTTATGGAGCTTGCCAAGGGATATCTTGCCTCGGCTCGCCCAGAGGCTACGGCTTCCAGTGCCTCTGTTGAGTCCAAGCCATCCACGCAGGCAACTACCGTTGGCGAAGCATCTGCCTCCGGGTCCAGCTCTGGGTCGAAGCCGGCCTTGGATCCGACGACCCCTGACGACGACACTTCTCTCTTTGGGAACGGTACCGTATTCACTTTGCCGACGCGGCCTCTAGGCACATGTGTCAACCGGGATGTCTTGCCGGAAGATATAGACGTGGAAGCGCCCGAAGGACAGCTCGTTCTTCACCCTCACGACGGCCCGGGTGATATTGACGCCGACGAGTCGCAAGCAGAGACAGAGGAAACGGTGGCAGAGGAGGAATCGAAGCAAGGCGCTAGCACGTCCCCAACGCCAATGCAAAAGCAGAGCACATCGACTGGAGCGGGCAGGCTCCGTAACGAAAGACCGGCCTCGTTGACTTCGGAGGCCGTGGCAAACTATGCGCGGGAGACACGCGGCCTCTCGCTCAAGAAACTGTCGTGCTACCTCATCCCCGTCAAGGCATCGATCCTCGGCAGGGCCATTGACCTGCTCTCCCTTGTCTCTATCACGCTTCTCAGCGTTGGGCCGCAAGCCGCCATCTGGAACCTGTTCAGCAAGGAGAACCTGGCTCACAAGCTACCACTCCGGAACATCCATACCGACAGCGTCAGCCAACCGTTTTTGCAGTGCGTGGCGCAACTCGACAAGGTCGAGCGTATCTACCTACTCAAGCGCATCGGCCAGGGCCACCTGCCCGAGAACGCTGCGCCCACGTCCTCGGTCACCAGCGCACACATTTACGAGAATATCCTGCAGAAGCACGCTCGCACTCTCCGGGTGCTGTCCGTGCGCGACATGACCAGCGAGGGCTGGGACCTTGATGACACAGCGATCCGCCTCCTCGCGAGACGCGCCCGTAACCTGCAGGAGCTTGCTGCCAGCATGAATATGGGGTCCTTGCACATGCTGCAACGGTGCCTCAGTGGCTTCCGCTCGCTGCGTGCGCTTCACGTGGTGCGCTTGCGCAACGACGACACGTGCGTGTGGGTGATGCAGGAAGTTAGGCACTTCCTGATGGACATGCTGTGCCATTACCCGCACTTGCCGCTCACGTACGTCGCTACAGAGGGCAGCCATTCGATCGACCGGATTGTGCGCGTAAACAAGCGGGCCGAGCGGAAGCTGCACGCCCCCGGCCCCAGTGGCAGCACTACGGCGGCGTCGACCATCGCCAGCATGCGGGTTCCCGATGCCGCCGAGAAGGAGGACGACAGCGACAGTGGTGGCGAGGACGGAATGTTTCACACGCCGGAGTTTCGCCTGGAGTCGATACTCATGTGCCACGCGGTGAATACGACCATTTTCACACAGGAGGTGCTGCACGGCATGATATGATGTGGTGTTCGTCGAGAAGGAGGGAGGCGGAGGGAGGACATGGCACAGATAGGTACGGGAGCGCAACAGAAGTCGTTGTGCATCCATGTTCCACTTATTTAGGTCTTTTATAAATGTCCTACATTTTCTCATCTTGCTGTCGTTCCTCTACATATGAACGATTTGGTAGCAATGCAAACGCACATTTGATTTCATCTAGCGTCGTATTTCGTTTCTCATAATCGTAGCAGTGACCACAGCAGTAACAG